GAAGAAGCGTTCGTAAACCTTTAAGACGAAACCTTTTAGCCTCGGTTCTGCACTTGACCAAGTAAGAAGTATGAACACTTATAATTTACTCCGTTTTCTGCGAATTGCTATTCCAAGAAAGATCAAGCGCTATGCACTTCATGCTACAGCAAAAGCTACACCGCGTCTCTATCAAAGTTTTTTTTTGTTGTAACCGAAATCTGGGAATTGTACGCCTCTCGGTCTATTCATTCGCATGCCACATATTTTCTTTGAACGCTGGCGCCACCAAAGATTTCAAATCTTGTGTTTATGTCAAATATATTATCAACATTGCATATAAAGTAAATTTTACAGATAAAACAACTGACTGCTCAAGCGTTTCGAAATTTCGGACAGTCGTACTTATGATTTATAAATGAAGGTTATGAAGAATCAAGAACTTTTCGCGTATGAATTATTTGATATAATTAATTCTATTCAGCGAACGAGATTTTAATAGCTCAGATTGTATAGGAAAACTCACTTAAATTTTTTTCAAGGTAAGTATTGAATTTATGACTCGAAATTGGTTTGCAAACAATAGAATCTAGTTATGTTATTATTATTTGAAAGAAAAAAAAAAAACTTGTGACTTGTTTTATCCGCATTTTTGCGAAACCGTTACGTGCGCAAATGTTCTTTGCATGGTAAATTCTTTGTCGTAATTAAGTGTTGAATATTTTAATATGTTGATTCTCGTGTTAGCGCTAGCATTGTATGGTAACGTGAACGCCCGGTTATGTTGTGCTAATGTTTAATTAGACATCATAGTTTGCCGTGACGTCAGACTGGACCCGGATACGCTGCCCCCCACACGTATGGTGTCGAGGAAAACCGCCATTCACGAGACATATAGCTTTCACTTTTCATTTCAAGATTATAACTGCCAATAAAACAAACATGATTATTCGTTGAATGGAAGTAAAAGATTGTTTCCTGGAGAGTACTTCTATTCGAAACTGTTCTAAATCCAAAGGATCGCTCAATTTTTCATGTTCGCATGTACGAGTATGTTAGAATACGAAGAATTAAAGAATGAATACAAAGCAATTAGTTGTAAGTTTTTTGAGTATACTGCGTGTTCTACCATAGTTAATGATTAAGCGTGGCTAATTTCACTTTACAGTGTAGAGGAAACTTGTCGTTCTGATAAACACGGGCGCAAGTACGGTTGTTGGTTTATAAATAGCGAGCTGCGCTTGCGGTTTTGTTAATTGCGTTTTCCATGGATGGCCACCTATATGGTTAGGTTTGATCTTTTTAAGAATTCAAGATGGTTAACAATAAATAACAAACATACGGTACTAATGAGCTTTTATATATTTTTTCTCTAAAATAACGAGGAAATTATGTATATTATTTATACCGATACAATAATAAACCATTGCATTGGCCAATAAAAATCCTCTTAACAAAAAACTAAGTAATATTATGTACCATTTTATTTACTTACCTATATGGTCTTGTTCAGAATACGATATTCTTTCATCGTATTGCGTACTCACAAAAACTTTGTATTGTTTCCGTTGAAAACGTCGTTCATTGTTTTAACCTAAATGGACATATATTCAATTAAATTAAAAGTTGAATCTTATCGTGCAAATCATTATTGAGTTTTTTTATAGTTTAACCGCCGCTAGATGAATATTAGATAGATTCACTTATTGAAAATATGTAATTTCATTTTTAAGAATCCTCAGTTTCGTTTTTCAATGAGCCAAATTATGAAAATATGATATATTATTTAACTTCATAAATATTAGCTCTTTTATATATTAGTCATATTGAGATGTATTGCTAAAAATATTAGGCGTGATCATATGTAAATAGTTATGAGTAATAATTTTCGTACTTATTCGTTTCTATTAAATTTGTAGTGTAAATCGTAAACAAGTTATATAAATTTCTATTGAGATTCTGTATTTTTACCACCAATTAAGCTGTGCGATGCAGTAGATATGACATCCTTTTATACATACCGTAAATTAGCTTTCAATAACCGCCTAATGATGTCGTTAATTTGGTTGTAATAGCGTAGCAGCCGCTACGATCCGGCACTCTACAATTGGGAGCACAATGCTCCCAATTGTAGAGTTGCGCTCGGAAGTTGGCTCAAGGCCGCTAGTTCGGCTTTGCCCGGTAAGTGGGTTATATCCGATGGCAAATTTGATTTAATGCCGCTCGGTTCCCCCTCGCCGCTCGTAAGTGGGTGCCGCGTAATCCGGTCATCGGATGTAGGCTAACCAGTGTCCAGTGTTTGTTAATGGGCAGCCGGCGCGGCTCGCCACGTTTCAGCGGAAAATAACCGGGACACTTCGCATTGGGGCCGGGTATTCCGTGGATGTTACCGCGATCTTTTTGATAGATTTCTCTCTTGGCTATCATTGCCTCAACTGCTCGAACGACTTAAGGAGTGATATGTAGTGGTTTAATAAGCCCTATTAACATACACGAAGTTTGTCGTTATTGTCATGTCTCTGTGATTTTGTTTTCGGGGTAAGTGGAACGTTTCAAAGTGTATGCTTGTATAACACATTGTCTTACCCAACGCAATTGCTGAAAATAATGAACAGAATTTTAAATTACGTCGCAATCAAACCTTAATCGTATCGCACTTGAACTGTCCGCGCGCACGCCGACAGTTGGCCACCCCGGACGGCGCGCGCCGTCGCCCGTACAACCGTGGCACCGGCGAAACGGCCCGCACTCTGCATTAGTATGCCGCCGCATCACAACTTTCTACACATTCTTGATGGCAGCCGGAGAAATGAGCGCCACCGGTACACATAACAATTATTTATAGTACCTACTTCTTGTCTCACAACGCGAAGAACTGCTCGTTTGGCCGATCCGATAGTTTGTAGGTGTCTTTATAGTGATATTATTAAGTATTATATATATTAAGTTTAATACTAATCCAGCTACACTTGCGCCCGCGGCCCAAAACTGACAAAAGATTTTTCACAGCAATCTTCGTACTTTCTGAAACGGAAAACCTATAGTTGCGTTGGAATTAAAACCAATACTTTAGATTGCAGCGACATCTCAACGACTACTGTATTAAACTAAACGTATCGTAACTTTATTTTTTACTTGAAAGGTTGTAAAGCGAACCGGCGGTTCACTTGATGTTAGTGTTTCCTGACTCACGTGGACACCCAAGGGTTAGCAGATACATTGCTAACCATTTAAAAATTGGGTTCCGGTTACCTCTATCACCTGAAAGTAAAATACTTCCGGTTTATGCCGGTCTTCTGTAAGTCCATGGTACTTCTCTGGACGAGCTCGCCCATTCGTGCAACACGAAGAAGATGTTGTATGGCCTTATCATAAGTTATTATTAAATGTTTATTACATAATTTTTATGAGACCACCGCCTTTATGTAATAATCGCAGTTTCGATCCGGGGCGAGACCCTTGAGACTCAAGACTCTTGAACTTAGAATATCGCATAAAGTAAAAAGAAAAAAAATCCTTGCAATGTTGGTTTGCTTACATTGGATCTTGTAAATTACTGGATCCCAAACTTTAGTGTCATCCAACCATCTTCTCTATTGAATTTAGCAAGTTTCTTTATTTCCAACCCTCTCATGTTTTATACTTGGACTATCGAGGATTCAGGGTTTTTGCGAGTATTTGAGGTTTGTCAAAAATTAATAAATGGTCTACGATAAAGTAATAACGTCGAAATAAATAAAAATAAACATTTAAAAATATTATATATTATTATAGACTACATTTATCACCTGCACGATCTTTGTTTTATTCCGTTCTAAACTGTCATCAGTAAAATCGTGCTAGTGTAGTAAGTAAACTTACTAATTGCGTCCAAGTAGACGTTAGCCTAACATTACCTAATATTTAAGTTCTCATTCTAGGTCGACTGAACCGCATGAAGTCGTCATTGAACTGAATTTAATCACCGTCCTAGAGCGTACAACATTCATATAACGCAGCATAAACTAGAATGTTCTGACTCACTTCAAACACTGGCATTGAAACTGAACATTTGAACATTATTATTTTTTAATTAAGTAATTTTCTGCAACTTGCAAGTTTGAATTCGTTATTTTCGAAGTAGACTCGTTATGGCGAGTCGGTGATAATAATCAATTCCTTAAAGTGATATTAGTAAGGCGTAATTTTTATTGCACACTATACTAGCCTTACACACTTTTGAGTCTTTAATTCTTTCATAATTTTATTATTATTTATTACTAAAAATATGTAACCATCGCCTCACGTAGTGAACCTGTTGAGTATTTGGATTTGTCCATTAGGTCTTTTTCAACACCTAAGAGAATGGTTTATTGTTCGTTTTTATTTTACTTTAATTACATAATAATCTCTAAATAAAAAGAAGATTTCATTGTAAGCGTTGATTATACCCCAAAAGTTTCATGTTTTTTTGACAACTCTTAATTATTGATAATTTAATTCAAAGCAGTGCTCAGTCTGAGCTGAGTGTGAGTGTATTTAAATTATTTCATACTAGCTGACTCGGCAACCGTTGTTTGCCATATAAATTATTTCTAGAGGAATTAGAACGCACGCATAAAATGTTTGACAGGTTACACAGACATAGTTGACAGTTTGACAGGTACAGTTTGTATGAGAAAATAAAATTGTTGCTATTTCGATTTTCCATGCAATTTTTCTATAATTTCTCATCGTTTAAACCTTCCCTGGACTGCCACGAATATATCAAAACCAAAATTAACCAAATCGGTCCAGCCGTTCTCGACTTTTAGCGAGACTAACGAACAGCAATCCATTTTTATATATAAGATATACTAAACGAAGGAGATAGTAGAGAATTTCGGCGAAGCGATGTCATTAATATTCATTTGTTTACTTTCTAGTATTCCAGCTTTCCGGTCATTCCACTATAAAGCTGTAAATACAATGTTCTATGTACCAAATAAAATACAATAAATAAATAAACAAAAATAAACCAAGCGTCCGCTCCGTGGTTTCAGGTGGCGATGGCCGGCGACTTCATCCTCGCTGTGGCGTCGATGATGATAGCTCGCCTGCGCAGCGACGAGGTCACACTCGTTCTTAGCCAGGTGAGCCATTCTACCTTGTCTACATTATGAAGAAAATCCATAGCAACTGCAGTCTAATGCATCCCGTCCAAAGTTCCGGTACCGGCCGGTTTTAATATACGATCTGCAGATGGATTTGGTTAATGGATATTGAATTTTAACGTAAATATTATGGAGCTAATGTCAGTGAAACCGGCCGTAAGTAGCGTTCTTCGTGAGAAACGGATCGAAATATTTGTTAAAATATTTTAATCACCCGCTGTCCCGGTCAAATGCGTTGAATGATTAATACTGCTCGACAGCAGACTGCTACTTTGTGACGTCACACGCGGAATGAAGCAGCTAACGACTAAGAACAAAGATATTTGACATTCTCTGTTCTACGGTTTATTCGCGAGATGACGAATATAATCGAGGCCGCCCTTGTCATTGAACATAAATTTTATGTCCACGGCAAAGACGCTCGACAGTATGAATCCGAATTCGGAAGTACCCGTTCGAACCAGATAGAACCACAAACTATTACGTTTCCGTACGAACTTGAGTGATGTGACATTTGTTTTATACGATGTTATTTACACAAACTATATGCCATTGTTGATAGACAACTTTATGCGTATGGTAATCAATGATGAACGGTGCGTGCATCAAACCATTGAGGTTAAATGTCTTAACCACCGATAATTTTAACATCCCGTTTGTTTTACAACTGGCATTGTGCAGTTGTTTTTTTTTTACTACGCGATTGATGCAATCCTAACGTTCAGCAAAACGATTTCATGATCGGATTGTAAGTCTACCAAATAAACTGCTATTTACCACTCGATACGTTAATTATCGTCGTTTTACGAAAATCATTATATTTTCAAGCGAATCATTTTGCATCTGATGTGGAGTAATTTATGAAGTTAAACATCTTTTGGCGTATTTGGGAAAAGTGATGAGAGTGAATTTTTACAATGCGGGACACTAATAAGCGCCACCAATTTGTGTTACCATGGCAACCAATAACAACTTTTTGACACTTTAAATTCCAAGTGAATTATTTAAATCTTTATCAATTTCATTTAATAACTTTTTTACATAGAGTACTGGCACACGGGATTAAATTTTTAGTTTTCTTTTCATACGCCAAATAACTTCTCATGTGCGTACGTAAGTACACACACACACACGTTTTTATATTAATTCCATTGAAAAGTCTTGCAAGTTGTATTTCTTTTGAATGACATACTTTGAATAGACGGGGATTTAAAAAAAAATTATATTTTCTTTTGTTGTTATGATTTATAAACAAAAATGTATATGAGCAAGACCGCAGAGTTACTTGTCGTTTCTTCGCTGGACCGGCTCAGTTTGAAAGGGACCGTTTGTAGGTTTTGACATTCATTAAAGCATTAAGCAGATTGAAACTAAATATAGTAAAATGTATAAATGTGTAAAAATCTACGTGAAAGCCTTCTATCATTGATTTCACGTAAAAGTTTCCAAAAGTAACTCAATCTGAGTTGAAGCGAAATGAAACGATAACAAGAAAATGAAATAATAGAGAAGCTTGTGGAATAATAGCCTCAAATAAGACAATTCTCGAGCGATATGATACGGGGGTTTTTTCCATAAAAATAATTTGATGAACACTAAACTATTATAAATTGTATTAAACTGGTATCGCCTATAATCACTTAAGTTGAGGTGTTGTCGAAAACTACAATCGAATAGAATTTATAATGAATCCGTATTGTAATATCAAACCAGTTTCTTTTTCAGAAACGCGAGTTGAAATTTTCCAATCTGTGTAGATTAAAGCTTTATGGTTTATTCATATAAAATATTTTTTTTAGGTATTATTGGTTCCGCGACTCATAGTTTATATGGATTTTGAGTTATTCGCCTTTTCCTTAGCGTCAGTAATTTCAAGAAAATCTGTACCTATTGCGTGTAAAAATCATAAACTTTTTAAATCCAGCATAGTATAATCAAAACCATAATAGCATTTGCTCAGCATTGTATTATGCTACATACAGAGTATCATTTTATTTTTCAGGAATCTAGATCGGTTATATATGTACGTTATTACTATTTTCTGCATTGGGTCTTCCATACAGAGCACTTAGCTAACGTTGTGCAACATTTAATTGAAAATAAGACGGCGAATGCAATGCTCGAACTCAAGGATAAAATAAATATGATGCGGATGGATCCATAGACAAGTGTGATTGGCATAGTGCTCTTGCTTAGTCCATAGACAGTTGCAATCAATTAAAAGTGAAAACATGATCGTTAAAGGCGTAGTTGATAATGACTTTGTCTATTGCCAGAGGGTGTAAGTTCGATTCCCACTACTGGAAAAATATTTTGTGATGGACACAGTGTTATCCAAGTGTCTGGGTGTTTCATATCTCTAAAATGTATTTATTTACAAAAGAAAAGTACGTTTAAATTTGTTTATCAGCAACCTAGTACTGGTACCCATAGAATAAGTTTGGCTTAGTTTGGAACTAGATGGCGTTGTGTAAAATGTGTCCTGAAATACTTATTTATTTCCCGTAATTTTTATTTATTTATGAAAGATAATACATAGATAGGGGATTTATTGATATATGTAGGTAAATGAAGACGCCTTAATTTGCCGAAAACGTCTTTATAATATCGAAACCGGATTATTATTACCGGCACACGTTAATATCACGTTCAAGGTCTATTATGATATTCTTGATGCTAATGTAAAGCCAAATTTTTATACGGGTTAAAAATAAATCTTCCTTATAGCCGATTACATTTTTTTGGTTGAAGAATATACTAGTTTGGCCATCACAGTTGGTTAACTTTTTATAAGATGCGGTTTAAAACTTGGTAGAGGTCTTAATGATGGGTTATTTTAGAGGTTGACTAAAATTGCGTCATGAAGTCTGAAATATTAATAAAAAATATCGTCGACATCACATAAACGATATTTATATCAGTTTTATATTACAAAAGGCAAATTTGAATCGATTTTAAATTAAATATCGCGTCGATTTAACTAAATATTGCGTCTTCTATTCCAAAGAAACACTACTTATTTCAGGCTTGCCAATGACCGACACTTAACAAGTTATCAATAAAAGTATCTTGACGAGACTATAAGTCTATTTCGATTTTGGGATTATTGAAATTTTTTAACGAATGTGAAAATAAAAGGATAAAATCATGAAGCCAAAATATTTATAGTTTAACGGTAGGATGAGAAATAACCAAGTCTGTCCCTTTATAGTACATGCTGCTGAACGAAGATATGAAAGTTAAAACTATCATATCTTTTTACTTGGAATGAGTGCGATAAAAATAATTTTATTTAGTAATACGAAACGGAATTTATTTTTAATTATTTGTTAATGTATAACGAGATAATAAGACTATTGAACAAATCAATTAGATTCATCCGACGAACTTTGATTGCTTGTGAGCTTCGTTATAGCGTCTGCATCTATGCAAGGGTTGGCAAACATTTATTGATTTTTTTTATTAAGAAAAAATAAAGCATTGTTTAACGCGCCAAGCATTGCTTGAAGAAACAATTTATATACGGTGTGCAATCATCGGTGTGGCAATCGCCGTTTTGCCAAGCGGTTAAAGTTTTTAGCTACGAATCGGGAAGACTTCAAAATGTATACACAAAAGCAGTGTCGCGCCGTCGTTTCAACGATAAAACAACGCTTCCAGGTGGTGACAGACCTAGTGCAGGGCGAGTTCATGCAGCTTGGCAGCAAGGAGACAGAGAACGAGCGATTCGCGCACTACCTCACGAAGACCTACAGGAAGACTGCCTCGCTCATCGCCAACTCCGTGAAAGCGGTAACTTTCAACGACTCTATTGATTTCTTGTTTTTACGCGAAATATTACAGGTTGTCAAATGATATTCTTTACGGTCTGTCCCGTGACCATGAACGCTGGTAAGGGTTCGAAATGTCGGGAATTTAAAAATCTAGCCAAACGCGATAACATCCGTAAGATACTTTCATTTCACAACGACGCTATTGACAGCATGCGATAGAAGGAAACGCACGAAATTATACGATTCTATTCACTTAAAGAAAGCCAAATAACTTTTTTGTATATCTAAGTACCACTTTACTTAGCTTTTTTTTTAAATATATGCGTCTTTTACTGGCGCAGTTGATATGATATAAGTCAAGCCAGCGTTCAATTCCTTCCTAATATTAATGACCTTCAAAGATTGTATCGAATACAAATTTAATATAAGAGTTTGCCCATGAGTAAAAATTATTGAACTATATAATTATATTGACTCCCAACGGACCGACTCCAACCACTTTCGAATCATTACGCCTTTCATCGATCTGAATTCGGATAAAAAAACTTCATAGATCATGTCGCGAACCGAATAAACTTCATATACCATAATTCGACTGTTTATAGGTGGCGCTAATTTCACTATCCATACTAAACGTTTATAAGATTCTAGCAACGGCCGACAGATGGCATTGTGTATAAAGTTCCTCTCGAAACTCAATAGTCCATCGGCGCTGACGCAATCGCTTTGTCTCACTCTCGCAACACGTTGGTTGCAAGCAATAATCGATCCAATAACAATAAGTATAGATTTAATATAAGTTACGTATTTTATTCGAGGAACCAGTTTAACTTAGCTGCATTCTATGGTTAAATTTTGAAACTTTTTTACTGATTTTATTGAACCGAACACAGCTGTTATATCAGAGTTAACCCGGGCTACCGTAAATTAAACTCGATGATTTTTTTTATGTAAGAAGGTGGCAAGTGATGTTAAGTAATAATCGCCACCCATTAACGTTTGCAACACCGATACAAACGCGTTGCCAAATTTTAATATTTGTGACCCAGCTACCTCACTCACCAGACAAAACTCAAAAACAACACTTCCGGTACGAGTCACGTACACGGACGGCCCTAAAAATAGAAATCCTTGAAACGATTGTTATTAACCGTGTGTAAAATCGCGTAAAATCGAGAAATCAGCTATACAGCAAATTGCCTTATTATAAAAAAAATAACCGCATTTAGCAGTTTAAAGGCTCGATTATCTCAATAAATAATTTATAACTTCTTGTCTGTTTGGCGACCATCACTTTAGTTTATAATTGTATAATATTCACATATAAGTATAGCAATATTCTCATATATGTCTGGGTGTTTATATATCTATAATATGTATTTATTAACAAAATAAAATTACGTTTCATGCGTGTTTATATGTATAATGTATGTCCATATTACAAGCTTAGTTTGGGGCTAGATAACGTTGTGTAAAAATATCCCCGAAATATTTATTTATCATTACATAGTATAAAACAAAGTCGTCCCGCTGTCTGTCTGTCCCTATGTATGTTTAGATATTTAAAACTACTATTTTTTTTAACTAGATAGTGTGATTCAAGAGGAAGGTTTATAATTTATATGTATAATATTAATTACATTACAGCTGTGCGAAGCCGGGGCGGGTACTATTGGCTCGCCCCGGCTATTTTGTTATATACCTTAACCCTAATAAACCCTAATAAGTGAGACGCGTGCTGTAATGAGGAGGGTGTTGTCCCAGGTGGCGCTGCTGAGCGGAGCCGACGAGGCGACCAGCGAGCTGGCGTTCCAGTACGGCCGCAACCTGGGCCTGTCCTTCCAGCTGGTGGACGACCTTCTGGACTTCGTGTCCTCGGCGCAGGCAATGGGCAAGCCCACGGCCGCCGACCTGCGCTTGGGCCTCGCCACGGCGCCCGTCCTCTTCGCTTGCGAGAAGGTAAACCAAAAACAAATTAAACTAACAGTCTTTATACATCCCGCTTCTTCGCTTGCGAGAAGATTAAAGAAAAACAAATTAAAGTAATTATTGTTGCTGAAAGGCGTTACGGTGATGACGCGTCAATATTGCATTGGATTTTAAAATTTTTATGTATGTATTATGATAAATTTATTAACATAAATGATAAATTAAATTAGCAAAATAAAAAAAATGTATATCTCATATTTGTTTTAAATTCTACTACGCCACCGTGCTCCCGCCGCGCAGTACCCCGAGCTGAACCCGATGATCATGAGGCGGTTCCAAGAGGCGGGCGACGTGGAGAAGGCGTTCGAGCTGGTGCACAAGTCGCGCGGCCTCGAGCAGACGCGCTTCCTCGCGCGCAAGCACGGGCTCGAAGCGGCCCGCCTCGCCGCCGAGCTGGCCGACTCGCCGTACCAAAAGGGCCTCGTGGTGACCACCGACCTGGTGCTCAACAGGATCAAGTAGGTTGGCCGGCCGCTTGCGCCGCGCGCCGCTGGAGGCACGGAAAGGCATCCAAAGTTCCACTCGCTTCTAGAACTTTCCGAACGCCCTTTGGTCGCCTAACGAGCTGGAGGCATCTAGGGCCATACAAAGTTTGAATGCGTATGCGTTCAGTCGCTTCTAGAACATACCGAGCGCGCTTTGTCGCCCAACGCGCTAGAACCGTGGAAAAGCATCCTAGTTTCCAATGCGTGCGGACGCTTCCAGAACTTTCCGAACGCTCTTTGCTCATCCAACGTGTTCGAGGCACGGACAGGCTTCCAAAGTTTGAGAGCGTCCAGTCTCTTCTAGAACGTTCCGAACGCGCTTTGGTCAAGCAACGCGTTAGAGCCTTGGAATAGCATCCAAAGCTCAGCTCACTTCGCTTCTAGAACTTTCTGAACGCTATTTGTTCACCCAACGCGCTAGGGCATGGAAAGGCAGCCAAAGTTCGAAAGCGTCCAGTCGCTTCTAGAAATTTCCAAACGCTCTTTGGTCCATATAGGGACCCTGTGTACTATATCCACCAATAAGAGCGTTTCGAAACAATACACGCATTGCCCACAGATTGAATTCGAGGGCGACATACAAACACACAACACGAATTTTGGATACCTTTTTGTTTTTATAGTTGACGCATAGATGTTGAATTTTGTGTTCTTTAATTACTTTCGCGCGTGCCCGGGCTCGGTCAGTAGTGAAGACTTCGTGATTTGTGCGAACTTGCGAGTAAAATGTGTGTGTGTGTGTGTGTGTAAATTTTACATGACGTTTATTATGTTATCGTAGATATTTTACGTCAAGTTAAAGGTGCCCCCGATTATAAACGATTATATGTAATCTTTATACATAAATATAGGTAGACGTATTCGATCGATATATTTGAAAGGAGGATATTTATATAGTATGTGGAGATTCCATTTATTTTTTTTATTTTCTCTTTTATTCCCTTTTCATACCTTTCACTTGTGTGACCTGATTTATGTTAAGTTATCGTACGGTATGTATTTAACACCGTAAACTATCTACGACGAATCGATCGCTTTAGAATAAGCGTGTGTGTGTGACTCCTCGTTACCAAATACCGCTGTACATAAATGTACAATAAATGCTCAACTGTTTAATTTTTCTTTTTATTCTCGAATACTCTTTCATTTCGCGAGCGAGACAAGCCGCCCTGTTTCGTTGTCACCTCTTATGTATATATGCGATTCGGGATGTGTTCCGGATGGATTTCAACCGGACTCCGTCCCGGACTTTAAGTAATGTGCAATCTGTCCGCTTAGGTGTAGTTTTTAGAGTACCTGCATCGGAATTTGACAATGGACCCTGCAAATAATCACACGTATACCCGAACGCAAAAGTCACGTCTAACTATTTCGGTTTCATCGTGCTCCGTGTAAATACTGAGTCATCGGATAAGTTACCCGTTGTTGTCTTCAGAACCAATTACCTCAGTTTTCTCTAGTATACAGACGTGTATCGTGTATTGTTCTTTGATAGTATTAAATTCTTAGTTTTATATATCTTTATACGAACGTGCACAATGGATATTCTAGGAGAAATTTGCTAAGGCCCCTAGCAACTAATCAAATATAGCACTTTACGTAGCTCTTAGTTGTTAAATTTGTAAATAATGCAAGTTATATTACGTTCGGAGTGGTTGATTTTTTTTTGTTTCGGATAAATGTCCGATTCGATGTTTGAAATTGAAAAATTGCACGCGCAAAGCAGTTGCTATTGTTGCTATTTAACAAAAAAATTATATATATAACAGAAATTAAACGATATTAGTCATAACTAAAATCTAGTGCACAAGCCGACATAATGACCAACATTTGAGAGACAGCGGTGAACTTAGCTATTTTTGTCATATTATAATTAAAAATGATACTGTTTACGAAAACTTTGAGAGAATGTTTTTGTTTTCGAATAGAGAGGCTTTAGTTATAGTTTGTTTGTTTTTAGGGACCCATCGTATTATGTTGTGTTGTATACAAATATGTTACTTGCGGTGTCGGTTTTTTGGTTTTTTGTTGTGTGCGTTTGTCTTGTTTTTTTTATTATTTTTTTTTTGTTTTGTGTTCCCTTTTTTTTGTTTAAACTTTCCCTTTAGCTTGGCTCTGGCCATTGTGTCGGATTCTGCAAATGAATTGAGTATAATGTTGAATGTTTCATGTACATTAAATGTTGAACAATGGGAGTCAATGAATTTTATTTATATACGTATGTAGTCATGTATGTAGCTTATACTGTTTGTAAATATTATAATTTTGTAAAATGCTAAATCATGAATAATTTTATAAATATTAGTTACAGATGTTTGTTTTATTTCAATTGTTTGCTATTTAAGAATTTTCAGTCACCGGTCAAAAAATAATACTTTTTAAGAGTGGACACAAGGATAGAAGATTACCGAATTGATATATGGACAACTCATTGTCTTTTAAATTCAAAGTTTGGTTAATGACACATCTCTCTATCCCTGGTGCGACGACAGTTGTTTTTTACAAAAATGATCTTATTTTGAAGTTATATTACATTTGTAATATTTGGGAAAAATTATCATTGGGAAAAGTTATAATAAATACGAAACAACCAACTTTGCAACTGACTTTTCGTTATTAGGTACTATGGCAACAAATAACAACTTTTTAACATTTAATTGTAATTCAAAGTTATTTAATGAAACCGTTATTAATTGCATTTAATGTCTTATTACAAAGAAATGGTACTGGCACGGGATAAAATTTTTAGTTATTTTCCTTTTATCCGCTAATGAAGTATAACTTCTTACGTGCGTACATAAGTACACACACACTTTTTTTCTGTGATCCTATGTTATGGAGGGTAGAAGTAATTAGCACCGTCTGATACGGAGGAACAGCTACAAAAGTGTCCAACAGTTGAACAGTAAATAAGTCCAGTATATAACAGTTTCAGATTTCCCCAGAGTTGCACTACAATAGCAAGAGGGTATGATTATTTACCCAGAGTTAGATTTAAGTAACATGTAACACCTGCCTAATACCCTTAGGCTACCCTAGCGCTATCACTTTAACACTTTCCGTTCGACAGTTTTACAAGCTTTTATTATACCTAGATGTTGTTCTCCTTACCTCTATCCTTCAAGTATTATGTGATTACCACCGTCCATGAACGTTTACTACATCTGTAAGGCTGTAAGTATCTTGCATTGAATAAAAATAGTTTACAAACACTGACGCCGATGGCACGATTTCTTTAAAAGTGTCAATACAAAAGGGAATGGATAGAGCCCTTTGGTTTTATTAAAATTATATACGTTCGTAGTATATTAGTCAAATAGAAAAAAAATTACCGAATTATTGCAAATTTGGTTATGTAGGTAGCAATATGAGCTATGTGGATATTTTGAAACAGTGATTTATTTATTCTTATCAAATGTATCCAAAAGACACGTTATATCTTTATAATAAAATATTCTGTGTTTTTTTACTCCCATGACTTAAGACACCCTCATTCTATACTTCCAAGACAAACCGTTTAGCCATAAAGAGTTAAATAAAACAAAACGCTTCAGATCTGTTAGGAGGAAATTAGGCGTTTTCGGGGATTATAAGTAGCTTATGGCACTTCCGCTGTCCATCATGGAAATTTTGCTGTAGGGACGAAGGACAAACCAAGGAACGTATTGTTGATTTTATAACAATGTTGCACTGCGATTAATGTGTAGCGATGATCCGATGACGAAGTGGGGACAAGTATCATTAATTACCAGTGATTAGAGGCCGGACAAACTTAAGGGCCTAATTTATAAGACCATGATAAGATCCGTTTGGCACTGAAATATGGTAAATCCTGATATGTTCTGCATTGTTGTCATAGGGCCACGCAACAGTCTTCGCTGTTGCACGAATGGGCAGGTTCGTCCGGGGAAGTACCACGACATCACAGAAGACCGGCGTAAAGTGGAAGTATAACAAATACTTTCGCGTTTCGTCTGGTGAGTGAGGTAGCCAGAGCCCAATTTCCAAAAACGATGTCAACGCATCTGCAAACCCTCGGGTGTAGCAGATTTCCATGGGCGGCGGTACTCACTTAACATCAGGTGAACCGTCTGCTCGTTTGGCAACTTATCACATGTTATATATCAAAAAAGTACGTTAAATACTCGTACAGATATTTGTTGAACGCGCGGATGTAAGTATATCTATGCTAAATACGCAGTTGTAGGGCCACGCAACAGCTTCCGCACGAATGGGCAGCCTCGTCTTGGGAAGTACCACGGCCTCAAAGAAGACCAGCTTGAATTAGAACATAAAACATTTGCATTTATTTTGGCGAGTGAAGACGAGGACGCACCGTTTTACAAGATGTCAAACCATCTGCAACCCCTCATGTGTTGTAGATGTCCATGGGCGGCTGTAATCACTGAATCGCCTGCTCCGTTGCTATTTTCAATCGACTTCAAAAACGGGGGAGGTTTCTTAATTCGAATGTATTTTTTTTTAATGTTTGTTACCTCAGAACTTTCGACTGAGTGAACGGATTTTGATGACTCTTTTTTTATTTGAAAGCTGCCCATTCGTGCAACGGCCGAGACCGCGTGGTTCTACCACCGTTAAAACAAACATATTATTTTATTTGGGCGGCCAACATAGACTTATGGAGAATATGCAGCAAAAATTTATCGTTGAAGTTTTGCAAGCAAACGAGCAAAACCTTGAATAAAGTGCCCAGCAAAGTGTGATAATGATTCAAGATTAAATTTTGTAACTTAAATTTAGTTAATTTATAGAGAATTATTAAATCATGCATCTATAATTTTGTATCATAATTATCATATTACAATAGTGACAAAGTTTATATACATAGTTAACTGCTACGGTTTTTTTCACAAAAAGTACTTTTCATAAAGAGAGCCAGCCTGTTTGCGGCAATCGATTGGCCCGCGCCCGGCACCGCCAGGATCCACCGAATGCCAACTCAAAAATGACATGGAAATTTTAGACAATATCTGTAACTAGGTCAGTTGGATGAATCAAAGCAAAATAATTTGAGTCGTCAATCCAATTCATAAGGTAGACTTTAAGTACCGTAAGATATACTTTTATTTACATTGATTTACGTGCAAATGATCATTTCTTGAGGTAATTACAGCATAGTGCAGATAACAGACATATGCCGTACTGAATAATATCATTTATCGCTAGCAGTTTGCAATACGTAAATCTTTTATAACTTTTAGATTTCCCTGTATCATTAATATTATTAAAACTTTCTCGAGACATTATTAACGAAATAATAAGACGGCTGAACCCTCGTTTAGTCGATGTATGTACGGACTAGTTTCGGACGCATCAGGAGGTCCTTGATCAGGGTGAGTGAATTAATTTACAGTCGCCCAATCTCACCGATCCCTGATGAAGGATGAAGCTAGTTTGTACATACATCGATTAAACGCGAGTTATTCAGTCTTTTATTTCGTCTGCCCGTATCGCTTCGTGACTTAGAGCTATAGATAAAAAGGGTAAATGATAATACTGCATTTCGGTAGCACGCAAAAATATTAGGCACCATAACCGACTCATAAGGTATTTCGATTTTTACGAGACGCGACATCACATAGTGGTAATCCGCCAGAAAAATAGATAAGTAGCAAAGTTGAGCATAAAACACTTTATGGTTTAAGCGGCCCTTTCGTCGACGATAAGTGATTGTCCTGTTTCTTTACTGTTTTAAAAAATCTATTACGTTGGTTACTTGGACAAAATGTATTATTATAGAAACAATTGATTTCTTTAACGAAAACTAAAATAACAAAATTTCATATATATGTGGTCTTAACTAGTTTTATGATAATCCTCTTGCCTGCAAAGTTATATAAAAATACTTTAATTACGCATGTATAGGTGATATGAATTACTTAACAAAACTTAAACTTACTCTTATCTCATTTTCAACAGCTAATGCAGACAACCGACTTTTCAACCGACTCCAAAAAGTGAGGAGGTTCTCAATTCGACTGTATTTTTATTTTATGTTTGTTACCAGTTTCGTCCACCACTTTCGTCTGATTGAACCGATTTTGATGATTCTTTTTTTATTTGAACGCTGATGCTTCCCATGTGGTCCCATATTAATTCCATTAGTATTGGATCTTGGGCTCCGCAGATACTTAGGGAACTTCGGAAAATCGATTATAAAACGAATAAGAGCGAAGAATATTTGAAGTCGGTTTTGATTTTCGTTAGTAAAAAATACTAAAAGAGAATCTTAGTTAACTAATTTCCTGCTAACCTTTTTTTTTTTTCTTAAAAGTCTATTTCTACAAAAGATCTTCGTTTTTAAACTTTACACTTTTAACGTGTCGTACACAGAAGGCTCTTTAAAATGTTTAAGTTACGTCAAACAAAATGTCTAGCAGTCGCCCAGTGTTGAATTTATATGGGATGAATTTTTGGGGTTCAATACATTATTTAGTCGAATTCAGACATTCAATATTGAAATCCAAATCAAAAACCAATGGTTACAATGGTACAAACGAGTCGGGACAATTTTTGATTTCTATATCATATAAGCAAATTTTTCGACATGATGGAATAATAAGTGACAGAGCAGTGAGTCAACTGAGTCTTAAATTCGGGTAGTGTAAATACTTAAATTAAATATCTTATGATGCGGTTACGCGGGCCCAATAAAAATTTCCTTAATAAATTATTCACATTACATTTATCAGAATGTTTATACGAGTGGTTGTTAAAGAGAGTCATACATATAGTAGCGTCAATTTATGCTTTTTAAGGTTGTTGTATTGACGCTATCCAAAGAAACCATGATTATAAAAAGTAAATTCTACTTAATGCCATCTGTACAAAGTCTTCAATTGCCAAATATGTAAATGTTTAAGAATCACCATATTCCTCCAATGTTACATGAACAACAGTTCAATAACGGCAATACAATAAAGTAGAGCCAGATATATTAATCGTTATATTTTACAAGCAAATTATCACCTGTCACCACAGTGGAATGTATGGGAATTTACACGGTACGTAATTTGTCGTACCGTCGCCTTCTGTTATTATGGAAACGTACACTTTGGCGTGCATGCCCTCACGTTTTACACGAGGACGTTTCAGATTCAGAAGATCGTTATTCGCGAAAGCTCGCTCTGTCATGTTCTAATATCATTACAAAGTTCTTTTCAAACCAAGCATATTTTGATTTCATCTAAACTGATTATTGCGGTTAACGTCGAGTACGATCCCTTTTGAGAAATCCTTTCACACAGAAAAATGATTGTACATATAATTATATAGTAACAAGAGCTGTGTTTGTCAGGTTAAGTGAAATTGATGTCTAAATGTTTGCTCTGAACACACAGCGGCTACGCAGGTGAGTCTTTGGGCTGCTTTCTGATATAAGAACTTCGTGTCTCCTGCACCTCTATTAAATATATCAATTTTTACTTGAGTTAACTTTTGTTTGAACTGCAGTATTTTACACTGAGAGAAATTTAAGTTGACATTTTGATTTTATTAAGGAGATTAACCTAAGTTGTTAAGTTGTTGAATTGACGTAGTATGTAAACATAATATATATTTTTGCGTTTCTAAATAATTAAAGTAGTAAACTTGATATACTGGAATCTATGCCAATGTATTGCCTAATTTAGAGCGAATGAATAAATTAAGGATTGAAACGATAGCATTAAAGTTTATCGACGTTTTATGTGGAATATATGCTTAAATTTCTTCGACCCTGTTCGCTTAATTTGCAAGTTACGTATCCTCCGCTTTCACGCATCAGATTAGATCACAACACTGGGAAGTGAAATGAGTCAAGTCCGTACGAGGAGTGGCGAACATTCGCAGACGCTTATTTATGATGCGTCTGCCTAGGACACGTGTCAGTCATACGTAATTATATAATACGAGTCCTGGACGATCGGAAAGAAACAATTGTCTCGCTTTCTTTATATAGCGATACGCTACCAATCTAGATTAGGGTAACATTGATATGTTAAATTCATTTTATTTTGTAATTTATGGTTTTTTATTTAACCAAATAACAACATAAGAAAGATAAAAGCTAGCAATAGCGTTTAAGTTCTTTAACATTAGCTTGAGCTTTTTATTTTTAACATAATGCAGTTTAATTTAAAAATGAAATTAGTATATGAAGTTTTTTATTGCAGAAATACTTGATCCCCCTATCCCTATTACACTTAATATTTTTATAGTAATGATGTAAGAAAACCTCAACAAGTACAGTGTTATGTTGGAAAATGCTCCCTTAATAAAAAAAAATTACTTAATACTTTTTTAAGATTAAAAATTTTACCGGTAATGCTACAAAGGTACTTAAAAACATATTCAATATCCCATACGTTATGAATATACGTATGCATATTGCAGCATCGGATTTGATTCCTCCATTAAACAAGTATTTGTACAATAATAAACATGGACAATGTTACTTTATTTTTAATAAATTTGAAAAAGTGGCAAACGAGCTGGCGGTTCACCTGATGTTAAGTAATCACCGCCGCCCATGGAAATTTGCAGCACCCGTAAGGTTGCAAATGGGTTGCCACCTTTAAATAAAGTGGGCCCCAGCTACCTCACTCACCAGAGGAAACGCAGAAGTACGCTTTACGCCGGTCTTCCGTGAGGTCGTGGTACTTACCCGGACGGACCTGGCCATTCGTGCAACAGTATGTAGCAGATGTCCATGGGCGGCGGTATTCACTTAACATTAGGCGAACCGTCTGCTCGCTTGGTAAATTTTCACATTAAAAAGCACGATTTTGTAAAACAAATAGTCTATGATATAAACGGCAGAAGGCTCAGCGTGCCCACGTCCGGTTCGGTTCGAAGAAGGGCAAGGGAGCGTCGACGCGCTGAGCGCACTCGGCTAGAAGGCGAGCGATTGGCCCGCGAGCGACGAGAGCAGAGGAGGATAGAGAAGATCGAACAACAAAAGAAGGTTCCACCCATATTACTAATTTTTTATAGCGAGATGCCAACCAAGCGAGTCCGTGGCGGCCTATGTGTACTCGTATAGACTGAATCGTTGATGATCACTTTTTCAATGTTTTATTGACATTCGCTTCGTGCTTCCACACGGAACGGACGTTAATCTGAGCCGGAGGGCCCATGCCAACCGACCCGGAAGCCATTTTGCAACCGTTGTTGCTACATATATTATTTCTTTTATATCTCGGTGTGCACTGCTTGCCTCATCGTTGTCGTGTTTCGCGGTCTACGGTTAGGGAAGTCTCAAGCAAGAAGAGTGAAGAATAATTATAGAAGATAGAAGAAACGTTACAGAAGAAAGAAGAAACTTTGCCCGACTTCCGAGCGGATAGTGTTAGTGTAGTGTTGTGCTCGTAGGCAGGTTCCTGTCCGTAAGTAGAATTCTACACACATTTCTCGTCTCAGAGGCGGCATTGTAATTTTTATCTGTGTGCTTGTTGCATTAGGCGACAGCTAGGTACTCACCCTAGTGCACCTAAAGCGCAGGCGATTAAAGGTTATTTTTAGGCACACACCTCCCTGCCGCAAGGTGGGGAGGCCTATTTAGAAAAACACACGCCGGCGGGGCGCAAGCCCCAAAGGCTCAAGCGTCGACATGGGTTCCCTCATAGAGGAATTCCTGCGTCAAGAATGCCCTGAATTATGGGTTAAATATTTAAATTTCGCGAGAGAACGACGCATCGTCGTCGAATTTTCTAGCGACAGTCCGGCTTCACCGGCTGCCGTCTCGCCGCCATCTCCGGTGCCCTCTGCGCGTGCTACTATGTCGCCCTCTGCGACAATTAATACGCCCGTCGCGTCGACTTCCGCCGCCGCGAACGAACCCAACGCGCCTTCCGCGCAAACCACCTCGGCCCCCTTCTGCGCTGTCGTTCCCGACTCACAATCGGACGGCGGCTCAGACATGGAGGTCGAAACGACCCCCGCTAATAACGCGAACGCCGACGGCTTCACCGTCGTCAAATCGCGAAAAAAGGGCAAGAAACGCCCCGCGACCGACAGCGACCCCGAAAGCGAGGCCGCCCCGTCAAACCGTCCCACCGCGACGCCCGCCAAAAAGGCAGCCGCGTCTGCCCAGTCGGAACCGACTTTCGCCTCCGAGCGAAAAATTAAGCCACCGCCGCCTATAATAAGACAAGATAAGGCAAAGTGGCACCAGGTTTGTTCGTGGTTTGAACGCCACAACATCCGAGACCCCCGGTCCAAGAATACGCATATGGGTATCCGCGTATACCTCAATTCTTCGGACGACTTCCATCGCGCAACTAAATACTTGCGCGAAGCTAAGGTAGGTTTCCACACCTACTCTCTACCCGAAGAGCGCAAACTTCGGGTCGTAATAAAGGGCGTCCCAAAAGAGTCGGATGTCGATATGGCTAAGGTCGACATCCGCACTCAGGGATACCCTGTCCACGCCGTGCGCCGTCTCAGGCACCCTCGCACCCGTGTCCCTATGGACATGGTCATGGTGGAACTTGACCCTATCCCGGAAGGTAAGGCCATTTTCAACCTCAAGAGGGTCTGTGGGCTCAGTGACTTAGTCATCGAGCCCCCACGTAAGTCAGGTGTTGTGGCACAGTGCCACAACTGCCAACATTTTGGCCACACGGCCAATAACTGCTTCGCTCACCCAAGGTGCGTCAAATGCACCGGTGACCACGGCACAACCGAGTGCACGAGGGCGAAAGATTGCGCAGATCCACCGGACTGCGTAAATTGCCACACTACCGGTCATCCGGCTAGTTATAGAGGCTGCGCTAAGGCCCCGAAAACTCCCGCGAGGAAATCTCCCGCGAAATCGACGTTGCCCAAACCCGCGCCCGTTAAATTCATTCCCGCGCCCGTACCCGTCGTAAACGCCTGGGCGAAACCCCAGGTGGCCGCGCAGGTAACCGCGCCGGTAATCCCGGTCGCCTCACGACCGATCGCGAAACAGCTGCCCGCCTCTCAAACGGCGCCGCGGCCGCAGGTGCAGCCAATTCCGTCAGTTTTCGCGGAAAACAAAGACGACCCATTCGCGCAAATAGCGAACATTTGCAGTTTATTGGATACAATAAATAGACAGGAACTCGCCGTATTGTCCGCTAAATTAGCGGCCGCCACATCTGGCCACGAGCGTCTTAGGGCAATTAGCCAACACAAAACGCTTGTGGAAGCCCTTTGGGCTTTTACGAGCCAACCATAAAGATCAATAGTCCGCGCAATAAAACCGCGCTCCGCCGCGTCGTTAATTAGACCCATAAAGGCACCTTAATGGGAAGTACAACCGCAGGTAAAACAAAACCTCGGGCTCTGGTTGTTTCGTATTTCAACGCAAACGGCATAAAGGGTCAAAGGGATGAAATCGCGGAATTCCTTCGCGATTATAATGTAGATATTTTCCTAGTGCAAGAGACATTCTTGAAGCCTAGCGTACGCGATCCCAGAATCGCAAATTACAATATTGTCCGCCACGATCGGTTAGCAAACCGTCTGGGAGGCACACTAATTTATTATAAACGGTCCTTGCACTGTTGCCCGCTCGACATTCCAGAGCTAAATCAAATAGAGGCATCCGCGTGTAGGTTAGCGCTCACCGGCCACAGGCCGCTTGTACTAGTCTCAGCCTACCTCTCGGGGAATAGAACCCTCCTTCAAAGCGACCTAGATACGCTTCTAAACTTAGGCCCTTCCGTGATAATTGCAGGAGATCTAAACTGCAAACACGGCTCATGGGACATTAACAGCATCCCAAACAGCAACGGAAAGCATCTCTTTAGCTTATCCGATAACCTAAATTTCAGTATAGTCGCTCCCGCGACTCCCACTAGGTATCCTACGGTGGACAACTACCAGCACGCGTCACCGAGTGTCCTAGACATAATGTTATTCAGGGAGGTCTCGCTCGACATCGAGTCGATAGAGACAATCCATGAACTAGACTCAGACCACAGGCCCGTCCTGTGTAAACTGGGCCAGAACGCCGGCGCGGTCCCTCCGACCAAATCCGTAGTGGACTGGCATCGTCTTGAGGTCAAACTCAAGGCCTTGGACCCCCAGAACTTAGTAGACTTACCCGAGACGATAGCTACGTTCGATGACGCAAATCGAGCGATAGCGAGTCTCCGTGAAACTATTACTTCCGCAGTCACAGACTCGGAACGGACGGTGAAACTGTCGGGCGACCGACGGTTTAACTTTCCGCCCGACCTACGACTGCTAATTAGACAAAAAAATGCAGCTAAACGCGCCTTCGACCGATACCGATCGGAATCGAACCGAACTCTACTTCGACGCCTTCAGCTAGAAGTCAAAGATCGTGTATCGGAACACCGACATACAACGTGGGACACTCTCCTAGAGGACATCGAGCCATCGCACACCGCCTACTGGCGGTTGGCCCACAGTCTGAAAGCAGAGACCCCCACGAATCTCTACCGCCGTTAGTTTGATCTAATAGCGCTTCAGTAGCCCTAGATGACTCCGAAAAAGCCGAATGCCTTGCGGACAACCTAGAGCAGCAATGTACGCCATCGCGCGAACACACCGATACGGCCCACCTAACGGAGTTGGACCGCGTAATCGAGACTAGGGCTGCGCTTCCACCGGAAGGCGAACCTCTAAATTCAGTGACCCCCGAAGAGGTCCAAGATATAATTAAAAATTTAAAACCAAAATCCGCCCCGGGCCCAGATAATATAAGTAATAAGATTCTAAAAGCTCTCCCTGGGCCGCTTATCTGTTTACTGGCGACAATTTTCAATACGCTTCTCTCCAGTTGCTCCTTTCCGGACGACTGGAAGCAAGCCACGGTTATCGGCATTCGCAAGCCGAATAAACCAGCCAATAAGCCCTCTAGCTATCGTCCCATCAGCCTCCTCAGTTGTCTGGGGAAGCTCTACGAGCGGCTATTGTTAAACAGGCTCAAAGAGCACGTATTTTCCAACGGCCTTCTGCCGACGGAACAATTCGGCTTTCGAGCTAGACACTCTTGTCCAGATCAGTTATACCGCCTAACGGAGCACATCCTAAAAGGCCTAAACCACCCGAAACATATCAGTACAGGGGCTCTCTTTTCTTCGATGTCGCAAAGGCATTCGACAAGGTCTGGCACAACGGCTTGCTTTACAAGCTGTACACACTCAAAGTGCCAGATAGGCTCGTACACACCATCCGGGCCTTTTTGTTGAACCGCTCTTTTCGATATCGATTCGAGGGCACCCTCTCCACAAGCCGCCGCCTCACGGCCGGCGTACCACAAGGCTCCTGCCTCTCACCCTTGTTATTTACGCTCTACACGAGCGACATACCTAGAGACCCCCACGTCAATCTCGCGCTTTTCGCGGATGACACGGCGCTCTTTTACTCAGATCGCAACCTCAACCAATTAACGACTCGACTCCAAAGCGCCGCCGACCGCCTCGGCGATTGGTTCCGCAAATGGAGAATCGATATTAACCCAGAAAAAAGTGTGGCGATTCACTTCACCCGTAGCACCCCCAACCCCCATCCGCCCACACCGTTACAAAGGTCCTCGCCAGTACAGAAAGTTGGGGCAAATATCACTATACGGCCAAACTCTCCCCTGGGAGAAAACGGTCAAATATCTAGGAGTCACTTTTGACTCGCGTATGACTTTCACTACGCACATCAATCAAGTCCGAAATAAAGCCGCGTTCGTCTCCGGCCGGCTACACAATTTAACGAATAAACATAGTAAAATGCCCTTAAGGCACAAATTATTGTTATATAAAGCTTGCGTAAGGCCAATCATGTCCTACGCATGCATGATCTTCGCACACATAAATCCTACGCGCATTGACGAATTGCAAGTAGTTCAAAGTAAGTTTATCCGCCGCGCAACCGGTGCGCAATGGTATCAGCGCAACGTCGACCTGCACAGCGATTGCAGACTCCCGACGATTCGCGCTCATTTTAAAGATTTGACAAAACGGTTCTTCGATAGAGCCCAGCATCATCCCAACCCTCTGGTGGTAAGCGCAGCAAACTACCTACCGGACACTAACGCGAACGTTAACAAGCGTCGCCCGCGAAACGTCCTCATCGACCCGGTCGACGAAGAGGACTTAGACACGATGGACCCGGGGGTCCCGCCGGATAACACTACACCCACAGTTAGTGTAACAACAATCACACCAGTTCGCCCTCGCCTCCGAGCACGGCGAGACCCACACAACGCGTACACAAGGTACACCCGCGTTCCGGGGCGGTTCTCACCGCTCCCAGCCACCGATTAGCTAAATGCACAGTCAACGGCCGTCGGGGTCTCGGTCCGAACCGGCGACCTCGACGGCCCTTAGATGACACACCATAGTAGTTAAACGCACGCATGAGCACATGCGCGACCCTACCCATAGCGGAGGGTCCAAACCCGTGGGTTCTGGCTAGCCCACCGGTTCTGCGTCCGATGAAGCTTTAATAGTCTCGAGACTGAAAGCAAAAACATCAGTTAATACAAGATACAAGATACAAGATCGTTGATGATGATGATAGTAGTATGATAATAGTAAAGATATATAATTCTAAATAGTAAAGATTTATGATTTATAAATTATAATTTATAATATTAATGTAAACATTTTAAAATAATTAATAAAGTCAATGAAATATAAAAAAATTACTATTACATAGATATAAGTCATCAATGCTTAAGTGAAAATTATTTCAAATATACATGCATTACTAGTTAATTCTACTAAATAGCAACACAACGTATATTCTTTATTATGTATGTTTTGCTGTTGATTTCTTAAGAAAAACAGGTTGTTAATTTCGTATATACCAAGTTTATGTAACTAAATAGCACATATCCGAAAGAAAACGACTGTATATATCTATTTAACTTGTAGCATTGCGTAATTAATGCATATTTCCCTTGAGCTTATATTTTCGAAATACGAATGCACTAAAAACTCTGGCGATTTATTTATTTAGATAATAATGGTAACTAAATGATATGATACGGGCTTCCTCTACAAATATTTTAATCTTATCCTTTAAACGAGCAATTCTTGTATATATATAATCGGAATCTCGGAAATGGCTCCAGCGATTTTCATGAAATTTAGTATTTGCGTAGATTCGGGGGCGAAAAATCGATCTAGCTAGGTTTCATTTTTAAAAAAATGTCCTTTCTTCCCTGTTTTCAGGGAATGAAAAATATCATTCGAATATGACGGTAAATTTCGCCGCAAAAAAAATGTTATAATAGCTCGGTCGGTAATCGGGCGGCCCAAAACAGACGGCCGCGGTTATCACGATCATTTACATACTTATTTTTTTTACTTTTTTTTTATACCAGGTCATAGCTTTCTTTATTTTTTATTTTTTTATTTCCAAAATACATGATTTACCAAAAAACAGAGCAAAGCTCGGTCCTCCAGGTACTATAATATTATTTGTCGCATGCAATATTCAACGCATATTTCAAAAGAAGATGATTAATTGAATTTGAGTATAACTTCTGCTTCTGTGGATTAATTTTCGAACCGTGTAGTGGAAAGGCAAGGCTCTATATAAAATAATCGTGCAAAGGCTGTATGCAAAAAAATATTCGAGATCAGTTTCTGTGGCACCACCAATAAAGTTTAATCACCGTTAAAACTTTAAGTGTTGATTAATTATTTTGCACTCGAGATATGCGATGTCTAGAAGAAACTAACTGACTGATCACCGCAGAGTAGGCTTAGGTCTGATAAAGCAGTTGATGACAAAACCGAATAAGTATTAGCTTCATAGAACGTTTTCTATTTTGCACATTTCCCAAATATTTCGCATATTTTAGAAGCAACATTTCTTCACAACTTAAAAACACACGAATGATAAAATACATTGCATAAGTATACTATATTAAAGGTCAATGCCCTGTCTTTTCATCCATTCAAAAGTATTAATCGATGGACCTTTCAGCTAACGGCGTAAATCGCTGTTGTTAAACAATTAGAAATTTGTTATCTATGGTAGCTTATCATTGTGTAGGCTCGCGAAGAGCTGGCGTCGTATGAGCCTTGGGGCCGTGCGGGCGGCGGCGCGCCCAATCCGCACGGCTTTCGCTTCAGCGATCTACGTGCTAAAGGAATTTACCCAGAAGACGAACTAAAGGTGAGTTAAATCAATAAAACTATTATTATACCCTCGTCTAGCTAGCCGGTTTCTCTCTCTTTCACCCTAACTCTCGACCGTTTGGTCTCTGCCGAGGGCTTCCGTCTGGTTGGGTCCCATTTATTTATGTATTATACACAATTTATATATCTACATGTTTATTTTTATTTATAAACCCAACCAGACGAGAAAACCAATAAATTTTTCTATTCCCATAACAATCGTTAACAAATGGTATAACAGGCGCATGTTATTCAGTTAAATGTACTAGTGTTTATCGTTGCACCAATCATGCATTACGATGCACTTACAATCACCCTTTTTAATACCATGCTCTTGTTTTCAACGTTTACATATCCAATTTCTTGCCTATCAGTCATACTTTGATAACAATCTCAAACCAATCATCTCGACACCAGACCACCTACAGTCATTTTCTTGTAACCGGTCAACATAAACACGGAGTGAGGTTTCGCAATGACCCCGTATAAGGCAAAGGGTCAATCGTCGCGTATCTTTAGGGCGGGATAAAAACTAGTGACGTAACAAGGATGATTAAACGTGTGTCAATAACTCTGTACCAAAAAGCCAGTTTCATTTTGGGATATTAAATAAATGCCTTTATATAACTCAGGTTCGAGGTTTTTTGGCCCTAAGACGGTTGAAAGCTATAGGTAATTTAGGATAAAATTTATCGGATTTTGTCGTCGGTATACTACTAATCTAATCCGCGTTGTGGCATGTGTAGTCATCACATTCAATAAGAATTTCTTACATATTTTGGTTAACCTGCATATTGGTTAAAAGATAAATGAGATCCGTTATAACTGATAGTCTTTCGTAATAGTTCAAAAAGTACATTAAAACTTTTTTTCGGGGGGTCAGTATTACTATATCGTATCGTGAGTTTAAATCTCAGTTGTGTGCTCCACGAATTTTGCCTTCTATTCCTTGCGCATATGTCTCTGATACCCAATGCTCGGCGATGATCAACCATTATTCAAATTTGGATGACGATATATTTGTAAAACAAATATCAAAATTTTATGGACTTATCATAATAGAGTCCACGGGCATTTAAAAACTAAGTAGAGGGAAAGCAACAACAAATGTTAAATTCCTTAATAGTTTATTCTAAAAGATCTATTGAAGCTTCGGATAAAGGTGTACTATTTTGCTTCGTACATGTAGCTATATCCGTGATAGTTACACGTATGTGTCCAGGCGCTCGTTTATAATTCAATATTTTCAAGCAATCTCAGTTCAAATTCCGGTACAGGCATCTATGAAATTATTAAGTGCTAACTTATCACGAAAAGGTTTTCGTGATAAGTCATATTATAATAAAAAATATATTTCAAAGATATGTCAATTCTCTACCAATCCGCCGTGGTAGACTATGCCCTAATAACCTCTGAACAGAAGTTGTTGGCCAGCAGTAGGACATAATGTTACCTTACTTTAATTTTACTTACGTTAAGCGCTTTATTTGCGAATTGATTTTTTTCCGATTTTATAGTGAATGCGCTGTGTCTCAATGATAAATAGAGCTTGCGGCATGTCGCAGTTGTACGGTCGCCGAAGAGTTTTATTACGTGACAAGTGGCAATTAACGCGACATTGCCTACAGATAACGGTTTTAATGGGTAGTGCCGCGTCATAAAGGGCCTTCTTGAAATTATGTAATGAAATTGACGAAATTAAACATTTCGTGCTATTCAATTTCATTTTAAGATACTGTGAGAAAAAGCAAATTTAAGACACTTCTTAAGCGAAAGTAAGTTCCCACAGACTCTTATTTCTATCGCTAAAACATTCATCATTATCGATTATACAGCGTGTCGTTACCATCGCGTCAATAAATGAACACACGTCTAACGCTACTTGCCAATAATCATAAAAAAATATTAACGTTAAACAAAATCCATAATTAAAAAAATATATTTTTCAAACAAACTAATTAAGTAAAAAAGAAACAAAATTTGTAGCATCCTATACAACTTGCGCCACAGCGTCGCATTACAAGCCTCTCCTTGTAACAGTATGTTTTGTCTCTTTTAAATTCATTCAACCCATTCATATGCGTTGTGACCTTTACAAATGAACTTTACGTTACGCTTTTATAGGTAAGGGTGTTCTAAAATTCTTTGTTTTGGAAAATTTAATAACTCTGTAAATATTGATGTTTAAAGAATTTAAATGTTTGAGATACAACTTTAAAAAGTTATCCCCTATATGTGTGTTCACTTATTGTCGCGATGGTAACGACACGCTGTATAAGTAAGGGTCTTCGTTGTTGCACGAATGCTCAGGTCCTCAGTCTCACAGAAGACCGTCGTGAAGTAGCAGTGTTATAGTTCTGCGTTTCGTCTGGTGAGCGAGGTAACCACTTTATTATAAGGTGGCAACGCATTTACAACCATACGGGTGTTGCAAATGTCAATGGGCGGTGGTTATCACTTAACATCAGGTACACCGTCAGCTCGTTTTCCACCTTCTCACATAAGAATGGTTACGATTCCAGGGAACATCAGTCTTTGAAGAATGGCGCCGTTGGTCGTCACCGAAAAGGCGTCAACCACGCACGCCAATACGTCTGCATGAAGATCCTCAGTTGTTCTTCGCAGAGCAATTAAAGCGCGCGGTCGACAACGACATTCGATACAAACAGACATCCGATCAGCAGAGGATATACAAAGAAATTTTAGGTAATTTCATTAAGTATATTGAAAATTTATATCATTTGTAATATATTGACTGATAGTATTATTCAATGTACATATTTATCTTACTAAATGTATCATGCGATTTAAAATACGGGGTTGAAAGAAAAATTTCTTTATTTCGTTCTGCAAACATTAAATATTTTCATTTTTTTCCTAATAAATACAACAAAACTCTTTTTCTCATATATGAAAATTCAAACTGTAATAAATTATGGCGTCAATTTATATACATAACGAATTTCAGATGACATGGTTGATAAAAGGCATAAAGCTATTAGAGATGAGAAGAGAAAAAACTTGGAGTATGAACGTAAAATGGTAAGTGAACCTTTTGTATAAAGTTCAATTAGATAATTTTGTTAAATTATGAAATCGATTTTAGCATACTATGGATGGGCCGTGGGGGAAACCTGGACCAGGTGGTACAATTTGGAGAAATCCTCGCAACATTGGATTAAATTTCGCGAAGTCTATGGTGCGTCGTTATTTATTTATTTATTTACTTTGCTGCAGCTTATTAAGGTATTTTAAAGGGCAGAAAGCTATTGTAATAAACTTAAAAAATTGAATTCATGTTTGATGAAATTGTGAGTGTTAGTTATATTTATGTATTGTATCATCTATGAGATTGAATTAGACTATTTATATTTTTTTTAATTCAGGGATGGACGAACAATGAAATTTTTAAAAAAATGAGAGGTGACCAGAAATTCTACAAAAGGTCTTCGCTTACTTTACCTGAAGTAAAGAGAGATAATGATTTGAAAGACCTGGACGTAATTGGCAAAGAGAACATTAACACGTCAAGTTTTGAAAAATTACCACATATCGAAAAACAAACTGGCTCGGCTATCAACGATGGAGCCAACCGTAAAAAACTTCACGGCTACTGTGCTTTAAGGGAATCGAATCATTTGCAGACAAACGGTAATAAATCAAAAAATAGTCGAAGAAAAGACAAATTTGTCAAAAGGCTGGGTAACGGCGAACTTGTGGTGAAAACGATAATTGACGATGGTGTTGACAATACTGATGTAGCGAATTCTATAGAGAACAAACAAACCCCGGAAGGCGCGATACTGAGATTGACGGGAGGTATAGAGCTGGTGCCCCTTTTGGCTAGACGCAGGCGCGTCGGCGCTCGTACTTTGCCCTCTAGTGACGTCACTCGACCCCCACAGCAATCCTGTCAGTGCGTATTGAATCTATTCGCGATCATACTAAAGGCTAACAAAGTCACAAAAGACGATTATCTTTTGTCACTGGACCTTTGCATCGCGACGGAATTTCGAAACGCATTCTTCTCTTTCGTAACGTTGCGCTTTATCGCGAATGCGTGTAACACTTAAAAGAATAATCGTTTTTGATCACGGGGTCCTAGCATTTGACCTTTCCATGCTTTTAAATTAGCTGCGAAATTTTATATTGTAAATGCATCTGCTTTATTTATTGGCCGATGTTAAGATATCATTCTTGTAATTATTCCTTTTTGCTATATTGAATTACTAATAAGATCTGGTAAAATTTATGCTTACATGCAGTATCTTACTTTATTTTGTTATAATCATTTTTCACAATGCTTTTGAACTGTTGTATGATTATCGAGCCCACTTATACAATTCACACATGTGGTGTTAGTGTTACCACATTTTTTTTAAGTTCTAATAATTTATCTAATTTATTTAGGGTTTGAAGGCTTCATGTTTTCTTTTAAAATGTATAAGACAATTTTAGGCATGAGATAATGTATCCGAGTAATGAAATATTAATTTATCATTTGACTTTTATTTTGTTCTCTGAACAATGGATTTTGTAGTTTCTTATCTAATCGCGTGCGTGCCGATGGTGGTTATGCCCTGTTATAGTTTAAGTTTTTTAAATGTTATCAATGGAAGAAACTCATCATAAGAATAGTATTTAATAAAATTAAATTTAAATAATTTCCCATTACTAATACAGCGTTGTAGTAATATTTAATTATTCTTATGCAATTTACTCCATGGTGACCTATATACAAAACGTTATCATCGTTGTTTACGAGTATGTTATAAGAACGGCATAGATATTTTTGTACAAAAGAAATTGGTATATGTATATCACTATTTGCATGACAGTTATAGGTACCTACATGTGTCCTTATTATAGGTTTGGGCTTGAATAAATCACTCTTTTGTGACCGCCGCCGTCGGACTTTGACAATGATTCGTTATTTACATTATTCGAACAATGCCTCGTACGTGGGCTTATCCATGTGCGGGTTGACAAGTGTGCGTAAGAAGAACAATTCACGAATTCAAGAATGTGGGATGACGGTCATCGATCTGAGTGAAGCAGTGTTGCGTCATCAACTGCTTTCTATGGGTGTCCAGTGTTACGTGAAGACGCATGCTTATTAACCCTTCGGTGATATTGGACGTGGAAGCAAATTTATTTACTGATCAACGCGGCTATCATTACGTAAATTGAACCGAATTGTTGAGTAACGAAATATATGACATTAATTAGTAATTGAAAAGGTAATTTAACCTAACAGTTTAAGTCACGATTGTGTTTATCTTTAACTAAGTAATTAGAATGTGAAAGTATTTATTAGCTTCATCAGTTACCGACAATTTCTGATAAAGAACAGACTCAAGCATACATTAAAAGAAACCAAATGAGTTCGTTTTTTTTAATTTTTGTTTTTTTTTAATGCTTATAGTTGTCAAACGAGCAGACGGTTCACCTGATGTTAAGTGAATACCATCGCCCATGGACATCTGCCACACCCGAGGGTTATTACAGATGCGTTGACAACCTTTTGAAAATTGGGCTCCGGATACCTCTCTCACCAGACGAAACACGAAAGTATTTGTCATACTTCCACTTTACGCAGGTCTTCTGTGAGGTCGTGGTACTTACCCGGACGGGCCTGCCCATTCGTGCAACAGCCGAGGCTGCTGTGTGGCCCTACCAAAGTAAAAAGTTGTTATTTATAAAAGAAGAAAAGCTGAAAGTAAATTACGTTTCATCACTTTTTCCAATCACCATTTTCTAACTTGAGTTGGTCACGATGATGGATATTGCCACCACTTTAACGTTTTAAAGCATTGATAAGCAATCGAAGAGGCCTTCAGATTTTCTCTTAATGTATACTTTGTAAATGCAACCTTACACCTACGCGACATTTCGCAGACATATGTGATTTTGTGAGAGCTTTCTTTTTTATTTTTGTGCGGAAAACTTAATGATTATCCAGGCACTGTAGGAATTGTGTTAAGTCATCTTTAAATTGGCATCTTTTGTTCGTTTATGATATATCGTAAAGTTCTATTGTAAAACATTAAGCAAGAGCTTAATACAGATGCACTTGTTTATTCCTAGTTTTTTACTTTATAAACTATGCATGATATTAAATGGAAACAGTGGAAATATTTTACTTAAAAATATCTGAAAGACAATTAAAGAATTGCGATCATATCACTTGTTGCGGACTGGAACATATAGGGTTAGTCTGTTGACAATGCTATTTCTTTAATTATGGACGCAAAATAAGAAGAAATAGATAATGTCGAAAACACCAACCAACGATCTTTATTCATAACTAGCGACCACTCCTTCGCCCAGATTCACTTCAGCTTTGACAACCAATTTTTTAAACAGATCCAACACTATCACGTATCATTTTTGTCATGTAAGCGTTTAATACGTTTAAATGTTTTTTACCTATATTCTTTGTGTTAATAAATTTATTATAACTGAAGAAACCATTCAGGCATCCATTTTCCGACTAGGTGATGATAAATAATATATTGTCATGGGGTTCGTGTAGGGTTGGTACATTATTCACAATGAACATTTTATATTTAATTTAAAATTACATATATTAAAAGTTATCTATAAAGAATTAAAGATCAATAATTAAAATAGTGAAAGAATTTTTAAATAGACGGTGATGTTTCAGAAGCAGTGTTGACAACCGTAATTGTATTTGTGAAATCATTAGAGATATTTAATTTCAGATGGCGCGAAATGTTCGACGTCGATTATTTAGGACAATTGAAACACCAGATGCGAGTGAAGTGCGAGCAGAAAGAGGTAAATGACGACGTTAAATCATACGTATGACATGGAAAGAGATAGCAATCTATAGAATTGCAATCTAATTACACCAATTGGTGTAATTTGAGTGCCTCAGTTTCGGTGCGCTAGTGTCATACCTCGTATTTGTATATTATATCATTTTGTTACAGTTCAACAAATGGCTTTATTGCTGTATGGTGAACAGAAATTTTAGAGTTTAGAGTCAGTTAGAGCGACGCAACAGCTTTAGCTGTTGCACAAATGGTTAGGCTCGTCCAGCGTGGAATAGAAGCATTAACTTTTTTCTTTTCATGTGGTGATTGAGGTTGCCGGGACCCACAGTTGTAAATTTTGGCAACCGACCAAAACCTCTCAGGTGTTATAGATGTTGTTAGGTATTATTCAACAGTATCAGTGAATCCCTGTCCTAACTTCTTTCATGTTTTTGCATCGTACCCTTAGGAGAGTCGCCGAGCATCGGCCGAGAGCGTGAGACTTCACCACGTCACTTGGTCGTCATTATGGGGTCGCCCAGGTCACGGCGCACCGCAGCAGCGTGGTCGCTACGCTAGAAACAACCTCGCCCAGCTTCTATACGTTCCGCCGCTAACCGACACACGCGCCCAAAACTAATCCTTCTACTTCTTTTGGATATTACAAGATTTCAATTTTTACCCGATTGTATGTATGTGTTTAATTGTATGTCACGCTCTGATGGCTTGATGGATTTTAGCTTGAGAGGTATCGTTAGATTCATATTTACTGAGACTGACAGTGGGTATATCAAAATAAAAAAATACACAGAAACGCAGTCGGGTTTTTTAGTTTTTAAAATTATATTCTACTTTTTTAATAATATACACGCAAACGTCTTGGTAATGACTACCATTTCACATGCAAAAATCTATTAAGGAACAGCAGTTTATTATAAGCGGTTATATTGTTCGATCACAAAGACACAAAAACGATTGCTCTCTCAAATATTAGTCTTAGAGTACAGCACTACGATAACGTATATGTAAGATACGTAATCAGAATTTATTAATGAAAGATAAAAATAATGTTTTAATTCATCGGACGGGCCGAAACGTCCCTTATATATATTTGTGGAACATTCATTAGGAAATGGAATGTAGAAAAACAACGTAAACGGCTCCATGCACCGAGTGTCACAGTAATGTATGATTATATTATACAACGGTGCAATGTATTATCAAATGTTTATCTGTACGTTTTAAACACGCCTGGCTAGGCGATAAAATTATTAAAAATACTTAAAAAAATGTTCTATAATATATTTAATATTGGTAATTATACCTAGTAGTAATTATTTTGAAGTATTGGTACGATAGTGAAAAGTTTACAAAATATATATCAAAACATAAATACCTAGTCGGGTTAAAAGTTCTGTTACATTTGTGTTTTTATATTAGGCATTTATATACCAAAAGGAATTTACTAATTAAAATTATTCAAAATGGTCTCCGTGATTTTTAGTACAATCAACATCTGCTGCTGCTTTGATCACGGTTGCCTGGAGTTACTCCAAATCAGGATGAGGCTTTGAGCAGGCCTTTTCCACCAAGTGTTACTATATTTTATAATTGCGAAGAATGGAACATTTTTATTCTCATAAAACATTCGAAATTCGAATTCAATAATTATTCTTGTGGCCAGCATTTAAAATTTAAAAGTTTTCGTTATGTGACAGAACTTATGACCCGACTAGGCGTTTATGTTTTTATATAAATTGTTAGTTGAATTCATACTTCACTTTATTTATTACATACATTTTCATAATTAACTTTTTTATTATAATTATTAACGTACCAACAGGTACGAAGAAATATTGTGCATGAACTTTTGTTACAAAATTTTACATTGCGTTTATTAAACATTTATCTGTGTTTATAAAAAAGTTTAGATTGTATAAAATTCTTAAAGCTATTATAAATAAAATATAACACATTTTTCTTAGTAAACATAACGTTATGTAGAATGATATTAAAATTTATGAAGATGTTTGAAACGTCTTCATAAAGTTTGTAACTTTACAAAATATCACTTGCACAAAAAAAAAAAATGAACCATTTTTTCAATAAGAAAATCAATCAATTGTTGATAATTTTTCTTAGTAATCTAATGAAGAAGACAAATTAGTTTCCGTACAACGGTCACCACACGGAACTACATTTTTCAAATATATAATTGAAATAAAGTAAAATATATAAAGTATATTCAAATACATAAAGTATTTAAAAATATATTAAAATAATAAAAAAAATTAAATCCAAAAATAAACTCATTGATTTCGTGTGCTAGACTGTTTATTTCTTATATATTATTAAGTTGTTTTAGGCTCATAGTATAACATTTTAGGAAATACTAATTTCATGAAGTGAAGTGCGTCATGTTTAACGTAAACTTTATATTTTGTTATTTATATTATTTAAAAACATAACCAATATAGAAATAAATTGTATGATGTTGTTTTACACAATTTTTTTATTCAAACACTAGAAAGCCTTGCTTAAAATAAACTTTACTTTTACTCTCAATAAATTAAGGAGTAAGTGTTATACGAACTGTTTAATATGATAGTTTGTATAAACCGATTATATGCATTATTTAAGAAGTAATATTTTAAGCAATTAAAATATTTTATAGGAGTGTACTATGAAATCAAATCATGTTGAAAAATCACTGGAAATTATTTATGTACATAATTTGATATTTATTTATAATAATAACAGTACAATAATGAACTCTAGGTTTTAAATTAATTGTAATATTACTCCAGAAATGATGATTATTTTAGAAAACGCCACAAATATAAATCCCAAACACACCCAAAAGGCAAAATATACTTCCTTATTGTTTACATTTACTCGTAATGTATAATGCGGTAAACTAATAGATACCTTTTTATACTAAACCAGCCGACCCGACAGATGTTGTCCTGTAAACACGACTGCAATCTGAAAATTTATAAATAAATAAAAAATGTCGACGGAATTGTGAATCTAAACCATTCTCGAATCGACCGGAAGACACATACAAAATTTCGTTAAAATCGGTGCAGCCGTTTAGGATGAGTTCAGTGATATACACGTACAGAAGAATTATATATATAAAGATTAATACATTTTGGAAGTTAGAACAGCATTATTGGGTAAATTAATGACGTACTGGTGTTAAAGCTACGGCGTAGTCGCATTAAATCATCCAAGTTCCTATATCTCCACAAAGATTGCATTTTGTTAAGTACACTGTTAATATTCTTATTTATTTTCGATTTCATATAAAAATTACAAGTTTTTATTAAAAGTTATGTTCATGTCATGATATTTATGACGTGTACTCAATGCACGCTACATTTTAGGATCGTCTATCACGATCTGATCGTTTGAAGTAAGACTGCACAGCCTAACCTAAACAAAAAAAAGCTTAAAGAAAATATGTAAAAAATACATACATAGAGTCGAACAAAGAACCTCCTCTTTTTTTAAAGTCGGTTAAAAAGCGAGCGTCCGGACACTTGTTGAATGAAATTCCGTGTATGAAAAATCAATTATCAATAAGGTCGGCAATTAGTATAAAATCCAGCCCAACACGGAGACCGAAATAAGTAGGTAATTAATTTATGATTCAAGTTAAAAGAATCTTAAAAATGGTCTGCAGGCGGTAATCAGTTATATTGAGACCGACCGTTTGCTGATTTACCACAAACTCATATTAAATGTGCTTAAAACTAAAGTGCGCCGAGTTACAGCTAGCTGCAACATTGAAAGCATTTTCATTAGCATGTGAAGATGCGACGCTGCAGTCTGACCTTGAATGTCGATGGCTCATCGGGACACTTGCGTAACGCATTCCGACGGACCACCGACACTGACTCTACCGTAATTGGCCGGAGAATTATTCCCGTCGATTTCAATCAACATTTGAATGACTTTGTTATTGAATTTTCCAACGGTAACTTTATCGTGTATCAGTTATAGACAATGACTCGATACTACTTAGGATTCGTAAAAAAATGCATTTATGCAAATAATTTCATTTTGATTTATTTTATATTTTTTTATAATTTTTTTATTCAAATTTAAGCAGCTAACGTTCTTGGCACCATGCCGCATAGACTAGGTTTATTAGATAATATGTAATTTAGATAGATTTAATGATCGAAATATTGAATAAATAAATTCCAAGCTATTTTAAATTTTATTTGATTCATAGTTAATAAAAAAAATATAATGTAACAACTTTTTTTGTATGTAATATTTTCATTATTTTTTTAAGTGCTGGATACTTGTGAAGTACTTAACATAATAGTTTTTCTAGGTTTTTTCGTCAATTACTTTCATGAATAAAGCAATTTCATTGCTTGGGGAAGACATGGTTATGTGGGGTTCTTACCTTCTAAAACCCTTGTAATAGCCACCCGTCGTAAATGGGTGGACTTTGATCATCTTACGATATGCTCTCTTCTTTAATATATGACCCTATTACTGAAATAGCACTTGCAATATAGGAATTAAATGTGATGGGAGTTTTCGCCACAAATAAAATAAGTCAATGTGTAATTTCCTACTGGAGTCGCAAATACTTCCATATGTTACGAAAATTCATCATCAAAATTTCGTATTGAATAAAAACTGAGACGTAATTTAACATTGGAGTGTAAAATTCTTTCAAATCTCTTTCTCAATATTCAGTTAAAATTGAGAACTGTTATAAAGATCAACAAAATTTCAAATGTACATATTTCTGTATCAACTGATTTGAAATTGCTTCTTAATAACTTATTTGTGTGTGGTTGAGACAACTCTACACCTTTAGTCATACTTCATCCATGTAGTTGTTCATTATTTTTTTTATACCACTGTCAGCCATCAGTAGTTTCGTTATAATAGCCATTCCAAGCCATCGGTGTTCTAATCACTTGGATCAGTAGATTAATGATACCATCACCTTAAGGCGGACGCTGCACACTCCCGTTACTTTATTTATGTGTTCTTATCCACCGATCTATTTGAACTAGCTTTATAGTTTAAGGTTTCTCTCACGTTTTGGTTAATATGTTGTAGCCAGGAATCTCATCTAATGAATAAATCATGGTCTAATAATCGTTTGAAATGGAATTATAAATACCAACAATAATTAGAAATGATTAATTCTACCGTTACAAAACTAGGCATAAAACATAGAAAAATTAGAGTTATACACCATCTTATAGTTAGTTATTCGTTTTACAAAACACGGCATAAGTTACACAACTTGATGGTTGGCGGTCCACCACTGTTCGTTTTTTACGCTCATGTATAACATCCAAGCAGAAATATCCAAAGATCTTTGCCCACGTGGGTAGAGAGAACATTATTAATGCATCCGAACAACACATAACTATACGACATATCATTACGTATGGTAATAAACATTAGGTGAGCACAGTGAGCAAACAATAACTGAGACGCGTTTAACGCGAGCTATGCGTAGATGGTGAAATTTTTTGGGCAAACAGAACTTTCCGTGTATGTTAATGACGTATATGGTGAAAGCCCATCGAATAGATTCGAGTACATATGTACATACCATAGGAGCGTTGTATCTTACACGTGTATTAAAGACGTGACAACTTTACATCCAACAGCATTTGACCACTTGCATTTTTAACCGACTTCAAAAGGAGGAGGTTCTCAATTCGACTGTATTTTTTTTTTATGTTTGTTACCTCAGAACTTTTGACTGAGTGAACCAATTTTGATGATTCTTTTTTTATTTCAAAGCTAATGCTTCTCATGTGGTCCCATATTAATTGCATTGGTATTGGATAATGGGCTACGGAGATACTTAGGGAAGTCCTGAAAATCAATTACAAAATGAATACAGAGCAAAAGATTTGAAGTCGGCTTTTAACGTTAGTAAAAAAATGATTATTATGATTATAAATAATCAATTAGGAGTTAGCACTAAGGTGTATTCGAAAATTTATTACCATATAGCTCAATATGTATGTAATAGTGCATAAAAGTGTGTTACATTGTGTCAATTACTTTGCATGAATGTGCAATTATTACTGTTATACTTGATTTTTATGTCATCTTTATCGAAGTATGCATAAGAACGCAAGATTTCCTTTAGTTAAGGTTAATAAACTACAGTAAATGATGTCCAAATGTTTGCAAGATTAGAATTTAATTTTAAACTTATTTATGGGAATATATATTTCCCCATGTGTTTGTATGAAAAATACATGGCAGAGTTAATCGTATTTTAAAATTTAAAAATTAGTAAAAGTGTTTATTTCATGTTTAGTGTTACAATAAAATAATAAAATTTTAAATAAGCTGCTTCATTTTGTAACCTGTTACCTGATTTATGTATGTTCATCCGTTATTGGGTAGCTACTTGCCGTTGCTCGACAACGCGCTAGGTTACGTCGGGGCGATCAATAGCATTCTTGATAAGGTAAAACCCATCACTATCTAATTTGTTTCGAATATTGCGGCCATTTTCAATTTGATCTAACAATCGTATTAATATTACGAAGAAATCAAAAATAACACAAATACTATATAATAATTTGACTGGTGGGTTATTATTTTATGCTTAATTTATTTGGTATTCTATAGAAATTAATATTCTTTATATTTAATTTAAATCATAAGCAGTGCGTAAGGCAAGCTGCAGTCTTTTGCTTCTTGTGTAAAGTAGAAAGTTTTATTTACTTTTCCCGGTCTTTTGTGTTAGAATAAGGTTTTAAAGAAACTCTCAAAGTAAAGAAATCACGCATTATCAATTAAGTTACTAATGCGACCCCAGTTAACCTGTGATATTGAAAATTACATCGTACATTACAATGACAGCTTCAATACAAAAGGTGTTGACGGTTTTTGAATAGAAGCCTTCCCCCACAACGATTGACAGTAATAATTGTTGGTAATGATTCCTCACGAAATAGACAGCACACGGGTCGATGATTCCATTCTTTTTGAATGATGACGAAGAATCAAGTACTAATGAGTGTTAGTTAATTGTGATGACGAATGTTTTAATTTCTTCTTTAGCACGTGAATTATTATCGTAACAAAAGTCAAGTGATTTAAAAATAAATAATATACCAAAAATAATATAAAGGGAATTGAAACTATAATTGAAAATAAATTTTCGATGACATAGTTATTAAATAACTATTCATGATTTTTTATTACATTTACAAATTTAAAAATATTATGAACCGAAATGATAAGAGGTTAGTACATATCATTATTTTTAAATTATTTAAATAAATGGAAACAAGATTTTAATATCCATGAAGTAGCATTTTTTATATCATTAACAATTTATACCTCAACCTAACAATTTAGGCGTAACTGTTTCAAATATACAATATATATTCTTTAAATTTCTCGATAGCGATTATATCAATGCAGTGAATATTCATCAGAGCCCTAGATGCAGGTTATAACACTCATTTTGTGAAAATTACATAAATTTTATCTTTTATACAGTACTAGCTGCTGCCCGCGACTACATCTGCGTAGAATAGGCTGAAGGCCTAACATTCAGACAGAAAGGCATATATACATAAAAATATGTATATAAAGTATAGCCTATGTTTTATTCTGATGTAAAAGCTATAGTATTGTAAATCCATTCAGTAGTATTTGCGTGAAAGAGTAACAAACATCGATCCATACTTTCGCCTTTATAATATTAGTAAGGACTTGTGTATTTCATGTTTGTACATGTGAAGTGTCAGTCAAGCACTGACAGTTTTTAAGTTAAAAAAAAAACTAAGTTTTAAGGAAAATCCTACCTACCATTGTGTTGATGCGTTTGTTGCCATAATGACAGCACATGCGCATAGCTCTGGGTCGAGGTGTGTATTCGTCAATCGCAGTTGTGTGCACGACGCTACCATCTCGCACAAGCGAGTTCCGAGACAGCGTAGCTTCACGGAAAAGAAAGTCCAACGACTGGGAGCGACCGGTCGACTCTGACCCCTGCGACGGAAGAGCACGCTATTTCGTTACTCATTGTCGGCGCACGTCGTCGATCGGTCGCGGTTAACGCTTTACGGAACTGGGTGTTTTGAATTTAGGAAAGATGATGATCAAGGTACAAGGTTTCATGCATTTCTCCGTGGCCAGCATATTTAAAAGTATCCTGAAAATCTTCTATATTCATGGAAATCATGAATGGGTTGATTTGTTTTTCACTGCTTTGGAACCGGATTGAGATTAAGAGGGTCTCATTTCATTGAATGCGAATTTTTCTCAGCTTCATAAATATTGTAGCATATGTTTAATATTCATTTTAAATGACTTCTTAAGAGATGGATGGCATATATGAAATAAAAGAAAGTTACAATAAATAAATCTACGTGAAAGACCCAGAAAGTTACTTTAAATATTCCATTAATAACCAAGTTTATAATAATTTATTATTCAGACACGATGTTTTCGAACACTTTAATGTAAATTTATATTAGTCAAGATTGTTAAATGTATTTTTGTTTTCATGTTTTATGCATGCTAAAACCCGAGTTAGTTTCAATGAATTATGCGACGTAAGATAAGTGTGAGCAAATCTGAATGAACGCGTTGATGTCTTTTGAACTGACTAAGTAATGTACGTATAATTTTCAGTTGCCTTCCTTAAACTTAAATAACTAATAATAAAATAAATATTTAGATTAATTACCCTTTAATGTTTGAGAAAATATATCGAATTTGACATTCGTAAAATTTAAACAATAGGTGCAATTTCGCTGAAAACCGTTAGTTTTATATAATTATGCATGTGTGCTATTAAAATTGTTGACTGATTATTAGAGAAACTAAGTAACCTAACATGCGCTAATATCTCAAAAATGTTCTTTTTCTGTCAATAAATTTAACCATTGACTTTTTAGAAGGAATGGAGATGACGTATTGTAGTTATTCCTCATAAGGAAATTGTAACATTAATTTAAATATTATTAATTTTTAATAAAGCTCAATTTAAGCAGCATTACTCCACGAAATGTTTTATTCGACCCGTTTGAATAAATGCTTATGTTCACACGAATGACATTCAGTTTTAGACACTTTAGAATTTGATCGAGCATTTTGAAAATCATTATGTTAATATCTGATTAACCGAAGGTCTGTTATATTTTTGTTATGGATTGTATAACATTCTATCAACGTTAATTTTATACACTGGTTACCTACTAAGAAGGTGGCGAAATGGGGCTATATTGTTCGTGTAGTGATCTTTCTTTGTCTTACGTTACCTGATGTAGTTAACTGACGTAGTTTCAGTCCGTAGACTATTGAAGCTTCAACGTACGCAGTACTACACGTTAGCCATAACCCAAGGGACTGATATGGCCCTCCGCGTTGGGTTGACCGTGAGGTCTTTCTTTATCCTTATCGACGTATGACTTTTTCTCTTTCATTCTAAGCGACTACGTGAAACTTTGTCAGTTATCATATTTTACATAATGTGTACATAAGTGTTCTGAATTATCTAGATGCTATAGAACAACGCAACAGCTCCTGTGGTTGCATGAATGGGCAGGCGCGTGCGTACCGCGTAAGTACCACGGCCTCACTCGTTTCGTCTCTGGTGAGTGAAGTAAACGGGGCATAACTTTTTAAACATTGTTAACTAGCTATTAATCGCGGCTTCGCGAATTGGCTGAATTTTTTCCTACTTAGTTGACACTTATCTTTACCTATCTTTTGGTCAATTTAAAAAAATATCTTAAAAAAATATCTTTATAAATTATAGCCTATGTGTTGTTCTGGTGTATTAGCAATATTATTGTAAAGTTTCATTAAAATCTGTTCAGTAGTTTTGGCGTGAAAGAGTAACAAAAATCCATCCATACATACAAACTTTCGTATTTATAATATTATTAGTATTAGTATATTAGCATTAGTGTAGTATAGTATTAGTAAGTAAGTGCAATTCATCGGATGTTGTAGGTCTCCGTGGGCAGCGGTGCTCACTTCAATCAAGAGAACCACTTGCCCGTTTGACAACTTTTCATATAACAAAAACTTCGAATTTCGACACCGACGGTCAACCGTTTAATTGTTTTATTATGGAGACACGTTTAACGGCCGGTTTCAATATTCAATATACAGATAGATTTGATTACTGGAGATAGAAGTTTGACGTAAGTATTATGGAGCTAATGTCAAATGCCTATCGCTAGTAACCAAATCTATCTGTATTTAGAATATAGGAAGGTTTCAATATTCTATCTACAGATAGATTTGGCCGCAAGTCGATTCAAATACATAACTCGTTATGTTCATTTTATTTTCTCATTACAATTCTCTCCAATGTTCTCGCAACCAAGATATTAAAGCTATTTAAGTGTTGAGCGACATAAAATTATACTAATAAACATTAATAGAAACAATGTCAGACGCATTCAAAATCTCATCACTATCTTTTCGGCTGAAGTGAGGTGAAGAGATGCAGCATTGATGTTATATGGGCGTGGAGAATTTTATTGAAGAATTACGTTACTCATGAAGTCAGACTTTGCGTAACGCTCGCTTGTCTTTAGCCGCGCTGACGGCGATGGATTCCGTAATTCTTGTACGACAGATGAAACGTTACAACACATTTAAAAGATGAACGGTTGCATACGTAAAAAATGTATTGTCGAGAATTGAGCACTTGCAAAAGCAGAAAAATTAAAAATTATAGAATCGTATAAAATTATTAGCATCAAAAGTTACGCATGAAAAACTGTTGTATAATATTTCTATCGCGGTTGATTTAGTTTCAATCTCATAATATTGAAATCGTGAACATCAAAATAAAAAAATATATACATATTTATTTTCTTTAGATAAGCGAGCTATCAGTTCACCTGATGTTAAGTGATAACCACCCCCCCCCCCGCCCCATTGAAATTTGCAACACCCATAAGGTTGCAAACGCATTACCACCTTTAAATAAAGTAGTTGCAGGTGCGTTGCCTCCTTTTAATGAAATGTGTGATATATTGCTTGACTAAGAATTTCATGGACTGCTTTTATGCATGAATCGGTGAAAGAACACCGATTCATGCATAAAAGCAGTCCATGAAATGGTTTTCTACGCGAGCCGTCAAAGAGTAAAAGATTGCAAGTCTATACCCTTGTTTAATTTAACAGCAGAGTATTAGGTCAGTGACCGGCCACTGGTTTTTAAAATTCTGTTTTACTAGAGGTACCAGAATGGTAAAGTCTATGCGTTAGTATAACATTTTTTAATCATTTTGTCCCCGGCTTCATAATGGAAAGAAATACGCAAGAGAAGAATTATCAATTGATTTCAACGGCATTTAAAGTCTGAAATTAAGCCCTGACATTTTAGCTTAAAGTCTACTAAATGGTAAGATAGGTGACCACGGCACCAGCGATAGTAAAGTAACAACCTATATATGCCCCACTGCTGGGCAAAGTCCTTCTCTGTACAGAGGGTCTCAGCGTTGTTCCACCACGCGACCCCACTGCAGTTTGACGGACTTCACATATCTTCAAAAGATTATTATTTTTTATTTTTAAAATATGCAGGCTACCCTCGCGATGCTTTCCTTCGCCGTTGAGCACGTGATAAGTTAGCAATTAATATTAACAATATTATTGTGGTACCAATGGCACCGGGGACGAACTCGGGTTGCTTAATTATATTGAATTAAAAGCGAGCGCCCGGAAATTGAGCTAGTATAGCGAAAAGTTTTGAGTAAACAGCCAGTATAAATTAAAATGCCAAATTCTGTAAAATATAGGATACATATAAAAATTACCTATTTACGTGGTGTAAATTTATGCACAGTAACAACGTTTTCAGGTGCACCAAATTTATAGTAATTTACAACTTTTATTTTGGAATTATGAAATATAGATTGTTCCAGTTACATTTAGTTGTGTGAAATTCTTTTCTGATTGTTTGCAGTTATAAAACGTCATTCAAATATAAATTTCGTAAAGACAACTAGGCTAAGTTGTTACGCAAATGAATTGTAATTAAAACCCTACTTTTGCGGGACTCCAGTATAACTAGTGTTTCATGTTACTTCCTTATATCTGTGTCAATTCCTAACCACGCATGATCAATACGTTCGTTTCTTAAAATGATTTTTATACTCTGGTGTTTCAGATTGTTTAGTTCATCGTCACTTTAAATGTGTTGTTGCAATTGTCCATAAGCGGTTATAATCACTTCTTGTTCATTTGCCACTCTCTCATGGTAAAAAAAATCTAACGATAATTTATTGAAAACATCTTCATTGTGTTCACCTCAGAGGTTAATTTAATCCATGTATAATTACCACTATCAAAGTTCAACAGCTTCCGAATGCAAATTTAGTTGAATTATCATAGTAATAATTTTAGTATTTTTTTAATAAAACATTCATAGCGTGCCAAATGTAGGACATAATACTTTATTTAATATAAATGTTTGTTGCTTGCCATTTTATTAATTAATTTTACCATATTCGTAGCTAAAAATTCTCGTTTCCCCACATAAAGCGGCGATAATATAAAGACATTTCCAAAACGCTCTTGTTTCCGGAGCGGAGTCCACTCGCACCGCACGAATGCACAAAACATAAACATTGAACAACGCGTGAAAATTAATTACCGTTAATGAGTTGGGCGGCTTTGTAAACAAATGCACAGCGCCATATCAAAACATCCTTGTTCGTGGTCGTCGGTTTTACACAATCGGGCGAATCCGTTAGCAGGGCAGGGTGCGAGCCGTTTCGAACCACGCAGTGTTGCTTAGTGTTCCGTTGCGAACGCCGGTGCGCAGGCGGCTCTATCTTAACCAGCGACAGCGCGGCGAACTGTGCTCCAGTGTACCCCGTATCCGACACGATGCGTCCAGTGAGTACCCGTGTTTGTACCCATTTATTGAGTGACTCGGAATACAATACGTGTATAGCTTGTCGAACGATGGTGGCTGAAGCATTTTTCGTTTTTCGTTTCGTTCGAAGTAAACGACGTTAACGTGAAACTGTTCAAATCGGTAGAAGCATAGAGTTAAGACTAAGAAATTCCTGTGCACGTAATTTTTGAACAATGAAAGAAAACTTACATTGGAATATTCAATTTAACAGTCGTGTAATTATTAGATTGAACAGTATTATTTAACTCTCCGACTCGAATTGGCAGAGTTCCCACACATGGTCCGACTACAAATTACTGTCATTTGTGGGAATCACCGAAAGCATGCGCTTTCTCTACATTTACTGCGAAAAGAAAGACAATAAATTTATTAGCCAAATATAAAACAAATATTCCTAAGAAATAATAATAGTTGATACAAATTATATTGGAATTAACTTTAACGTATGCAATTTATTCAAAAATTAGCATGAATATTAGTTTTAAATGAAATCCACTTTCTTCTATATGACGTAAGATACGTGTGCGTGATGATCAGATTCGCTCGCAAACATGAACGAAGATATACTTTTTACGAATTTGACAAAACATTTCGACATCTGTTAGATAAATGTTTGAAAGCTCTTTTGGCACTGTTTCGAAAAATATTGACGTTCTTTAATTACTTGGTATTCTCTTAGTAATTATATTGTTTTAGGTCGCCGATTATATTGGTCTGTTCGTATTTTATTTCCTTGAAAAATTTTAAACTTCTGTTATTGGAATATTTTATTATATCTGGAGCCATTTAAATAAATAAGATGTACAATAATTATGTCTATATTTATAGTGGTATTAAATATAGTATTCATTGTTTCATAACTGGATAGAAAAAATGATTAACGTAAAATATACTGCTCAAATCTATGTGAAAAACTAACAAGACAATAATTTCTAATTCCAAAGACGGTTAATTAAAAATGATCTTTTTAATTGTACTTATTTTTTAAAAATCGTAATCCATTCCACACAAGTTGGTACAGATCAAATTATTAGCCATTAACATTTGTAGAAAAGTAAGTGCAGAGATTAGCACTATAAAAGAATTAAAATCTTAGCCGTCAAAAATGTTCTCGTAACTAATCAAAATCATGTCCATCTACAATAAAAATTTAGATATTTTATGAACCTGTTTTTCCATTAGTTATTGCTCCGAGTTAAGCAAATGATGTTACGAGACCATTTCACATTCATCGGAATATTTTCACCTGATATCGCATTTCCGCGACGAACGTGTTATATAACAGAAAACTAATTTATGTCAGAACGAAATCTCCAAACTATATGACCTTCGCTCTAAACTTGCTATAATTAAAGCGGATTATATTTCAAATTTCATCAATATGTTTTCATCTTTCATGAAGTTTGTGAGTTCGATTCCCATTTGGCACCAGTGTTTTGTTTTATGTGAGAAGGTGACAAACGAGGTGGCGGTTCACCTGGTATTAAGTGATAACCGCCGCCCATTGACATTTGCAACACCCATAGGATTGTAAATGTGTTGCCACCTTTTAATTAGGTAGGCCCCGGCTATCTAACTCACCAGACAAAATGCAGAAATATAACATTTCCACTTCGTGCCGGTCTTCTGTGAGGTCGTGGTACTTATTCGGACAGACTTATTGATGGTTACGTGGCCTTAACACCGTTTGTATGAAATATAGATAATTGTTCCGTATTTCAGTATTTTTCCTCGTTTAATTTCTATTTTTTCAACGCATATACAACAGAGAGTTATATTATCGCATAGAAGGGAAAATGATTTGAAAATAAAATTAAAAGAAGACCTAGTTATTTTCATAAGCGATTTTCGCTAAAATATTTTTTTCAATTATTTTATATTTAATTGTTTCAACCTTTAAACATAATGATACTTATTGTTATTATAAAATTTTAACTATTTATACATGTTCATAAATAATTTTAGCTTGGTGACGAAGTTATGTATTTAAAAATATCAAGGCATAAAGACATCGTCATTAAAATGTGCCATTTGAGATTTGATTTTGATAATGGCATGCATTAATAACTTTTAGGTTATTCAGTATATTTTTTTATTTCCCCACATATAATTAGCCCACAAATATTTTTATGCATGGAAAGACTTATCACTCAAAAGCTATGTAATATATATGTCCATAAGCAATAAAAGTTTTTTTATTGCTTATGGACTATGTCCCGTAACTGTTAAAAGATGATTAAGAAACGCTAACCTAAACTATTAGAATCAATATCATCTGTAATTTCCATGAATAGCAGTGTATTAAAGTTAGCACATTAAAGTTATTCATAAAGACAAGGGAAAAACAAATTGAAAATCTCAGACGAATCTCGTTAAACCGAGCCTTATCTGCGATTCATTCTCAAAATCAACGTAAGTCAATGCCCGGACTAAAAGCAAGTGAAATTTTAGAGGCTATTAAATTGTTAGCGGTAAACGTGTAACGCTCGATGCAGTTTTATTTCAATATTGGTTTCCTAATATGATTTGTTCGTGTTTTTGTTAACGATATATATGTTTTCATTTTTTAAAAAAGATGTAATAAAGAAATAGATACAATATGGATATTTAATAATTATATCGCTTAGCATACCATCCATCCATACCATCTCTACTCTATCAGGACCACATTTAATTAACGATATCCTCATTCTTAAATCTGTTCTTTTTCGTATTGTTGGTAAGTAAACAAGATAAATCAAACTCAGCTCTAAATTGTTGAGTTTCATTCAAGTTTGTTAAGTAAGAACCACTCCATTCATAAAATGTATGGGAATACAATCTACTTTATAGTTTGTGTTTCTTTGAATTCTATCTTAAATCGGCACTAATTAGACCGTATCGTGAAGACAATACATTTTGTATTTACGAATGCATTAACAAAATGTTGCACTTTCGTTTTGAAGCTTTAAATCTTAATAGGCTTAATTAAAACGATCTATGCAATATTATCGTGGCTTTAAACAATGCTTATTCATAACTACGCTACAGTTAATGAGGTGTCGCAAAACTTGGGTTATGTTTAAATTCGGTCATCATAGTATCAGAGTTTTGATGACTGAATTGCTTCATTACATTTCCCACAGTTCAAAACAACCCGGTTATTAGAAACGATATATGAGAATCTCAATTAAAAAGAAGCATAGACAAAAGAACATTAAGAATAATAAAACCTTAACAATGATCTTTTATAAATGTTTATACAATTTCACAGATACTTTTAAAACGCCAGTGATTTGTTTGTTTTTTGTTGTCTTTCACAAAAAAAAGAAATATTATATGATATATCATTTTATATTTTTGTATCATTCACACAGAGCTTTCAAATATAGTTGATTGTAGTTTTCAATTATTTTACAATATAAAGATAAATTAAAAAAAGAAGTGACATTTTTGTGTTGAAGGAAAGAAAAATGTTTATTAGTTTTTCATCATGTACTTGAATCATGTAAAGGCTGAACACTGGAACAATCTAAAGTCAGGTTGGTTTTCCATAGATCACTTCGTAAGCGTCGTCCAGTTTACGGAGACATGTTGACCAATGAAATCCTCACCGACATAAGAGAGAAAGGAATGCGTTAATGATGGAGTGCTATGTTTAGAGATTTAATGTTCTCTTCGAATTTCATTACACGATTTTATCAATATGTTCAACAACATAACGTGTCTATTCCCGACCGACAACTCAGATTTTTATAGAAAAATAAATATCTGACTAAATACATCTAATACAATAAAATGGGTTTTCGATTCGGAGAGTAGTATGCATTTAACTTGGTTACCAGTCACACAATAATATTACAAGTGTGATAATAATAATCAGTGAGTGTGATAATAATAATCACACTTGTAATATTATTCAGCTTATTTAAAAATATTTAAAAATTCTACGAGGACATAAGCTCACTTAGAATTTTTAAATCTATGAAAAAAAGGATGAAAACCTTGCTGAAGATCCACGTGTCGGCCATTTCACATGTTTGAGCAGTTTACAAGATCATACTCGTAAAATGTGCGGTACGCGTTGGGCATCCAATGGAATGAAGAAGGAAGCATTTCATAGCAATTACAACATGTAAAGAAAGACTGCCTGCGCTCATTATTACCCCGCAAATAGGTTTCAACTATTTTAATGTTAATTATTTCGCACTATGTCTAGAAACGACGTGTTTCTTGTTTTTGTCGTTGCATAGTTGACTATAAATTTCACTTTCCTGTAGTTTTTTGATTGCTGAAAAACAATTGTTTAGTGTTAACCATTTACTTTGTTCTTCCAGCATGTGAAACGTTAAATATATTTCATGTCAGTTGTGACAATATGTTGATATTAACTATTACTTTGAAAAAAAAAATCTTGTAAAATTACTTAGCATGAATTAAGAACTACTGAAGTTGCAAGGCGGCCATAGTGAACTGCAGTATTTTGTTTAAAGTTTCTCAGTGATTTTGCTTTATTGATAGTACTTTTTAATGGCGAAGCAAGCCTATTTAATTAATTATTAATTGAAGAAACCATCGCCGAATTCTTGAGCGCCAATGTACTGTTATTCCAGCGTTCATAATGTATGTAATAAGTGTATAAGTTATGATAGGCTTGTGGTCTTTACCACTGCGACATATGTGCCGAGGAGACGGCCCAACACGCACTGGAGGAGTGCCCAGCCTGGCGGGAGCAGCGCCGAGATCTGATGGCTATCGTGGGGCACGATCTCTCGCTACCAGCCGTGGTCCGTGCTTTAGTGGACAGCGAGAGGTCGTGGGGTGCCGTCCTTGCATTCTGCGAGGACATAATCACCCGGAAGGAGGCCGCGGAGAGAGAAAGGGAGGCAACTGCTACCCTGGAAATCCGCCGCCGGAGACCAGGGCGCAGGAGGCTGGCCTACGCGCGCAACCGTCCCCCCTGATAACAAGCCCCGGGGCGGCAGATGTGGGACTAACT